GTCGCCACCCCCAGTAATTCAGATTCAACGCTTCGGCTTCAGATCAGTTAGAAAATCGTTGTCCAAATCATTCTCCTACACCAGCAAAACAGTGCCTCTGTGACCTTGCGATTTTTTTTCCTTTTTATGCATTTTTTTAAAAATTTGGATTGTTCTTTTTCAAACAGAGCGCATGTGCACGAGTCCAATGAAAAGTAAGTCTCCTCATTCTTCACTTCGTCCACGAATTATTCTCTCACCCCCCCCCCCCTCCACGAATTATTGCCAGTTTCCAGTGTATCTTTCTATGACAGTCCTTGTATAAACACTTACAGGTATGCAAATATATTTCCGCTCTTCTTACAAAATACAAATGACCTCTTCCCTTCCTCTCTCTCACCCTCAGAGTCAAAACTTGGAGGTGATAGATTTGCACTGATAGGCAATCTCCACTTTCAGGGAAGAATAGTATACATTCCTGGAGGGATATCTCTACTCACCCAGATTCTGTCCTTTTTCTCCCTAGCCCTCCATCCTGGCTGGGGAAGGTGGGAGATATTTGGGTTGGTAAGAGAGGGGAAAGTGGTTCACTACTGTGGGATCCTGGGCTCGGTAAGGAAGCAGCCCTATTTTGACTTTAGGTTGGAAGGGCAGGGAAGCATCCTGGGTTTAGAAGTGGGAAAAGGGATTTGATTAGTAAATCCATCTGAAGGCTTTCTACTTCCATCTCTTCCCATTCTTATAGTCAGGATCCAACCTAAGTCACAAGCCAATGTAGTTAGAAAATTCAAGTTCATTGAAGGCAGAACTAAATCTTACTATGTTTGTGTTCCAAGCATACATCTTCTCCATAAATATTTGAATTGATGATTCTAATGGAGTGAAGTGGCCTCATTTGCTTTTTGGTTGTAAATTAAGTTGCATTCTTTCAACACAGAATCAGGTTATTTTCATAGAAGACAAATAGAAAACTTGGCCAAAATGAACCTCGTTTACATCCAGAATCTCAAAGAACAGAGTGCATATGTGAGTGTACTAGGATATGTTAGTCCTCACAAGGTTGTGGACAGACATGGGCCCAAGACAGGACAAGACTAGACTTAGAAGAAGGCAAAACCCAGAAGGAAGCAGAGTTCAGGACAGAATGAGCATCCAAAGTCAGGCACAAACAGAGTGATGACACGCAGAGTGTACTCAGTAAGAAAAGTGAGGGCTAAGGACTAGGCCTTGGGATGAGCATACATTTAGGAGGAAATAGAAGATGTGGCCTGAGAGAAAGGAAGAGAACCAGAACAGTGTCATTTAAAGAAAATTTTGGGAGAAGAAGATTTCGAGCACAGAAAAGTCAGCAAACTCAGATGCTGCAAAGGAGAAGGAGGAATGAGACAAAATATTTGGGTTTGACACTTAGAAGTCATTGTTGATTTCTAAAACCTTCTGTGAGAGCAACTGGATAACGTGTTTCAAGAGTCAGGGAAAAAAAAGTATATTCTTTGCTCTAATAATTTTACTTTTAGGGATCTTGCCAAAGCAAATAACCCTAAACTTGGAAAAGTTATCTACATAAAGATGTCTGTTTATAGAGTATTTAGAAGGGAGGAGAATTAAAATATCCTAAATGACCAACAAATAAAGTGCTGAACTAATCTAAGGTATATAATAATAGTCATTTTAATTTTTAAAAATAATAATCATTTTTAAAGTATAAGGTCAACTTTTAAATATTTTTTTTTAACTTAAAGGAGTAAGATTCCCTTAAAGAAATGACTGATTACAGATCTTCAGCAGGGGAAGTACAAGTTGAGTCTGGAATATCTTGTATAACAAAGCAAGCAAGTGCTTAAAGACTGATAGGACCAAATCAAGAGGACACAGAAACCTTCTGAAAGGGCTCCTATTGGACAAATTTGGAGCAATTTGATTACCAAAAAGAATATTGATAGTAATAGATTACATCACATAGGGTTAAAGAATTTTTGAGATCAAGGGGAGAGAGAGGGAAAAAGAAGAAAGAGGAAGAATTCTTTACAGAAGAATGCCAGGTAATAAACACGGAAGTAATGACAGAAGTAGAGAGCCACCATTTTTGCAATCGCAGTGAAATAACAAATGCAAGCAGGGAAGCCAAAGCCACTTGGAAAAACCTTGTTGGGAGCAAATAGTAAAGAGGTCTTAGGAAAGCACACCAGAACTTACTTTAACTTGTCGTGTAGAGAGATCTGATGAATTCGAACTTAACCAAGTGGGCAAGCGTGGCATCACCAATAAAGAGACAAATATGCACTGTTGGCCTCCCAGTGTGACACACCCCCTGCATGGTGGTCTTTTCAAAACTGAAAAGTCTTTTCAAATATGTTTAACCTGAATCTACTCATGAGGAAACTATGGGAGGATCCAGAATGTGGGACATTCTATATGACAACTACTTTGGACGCTTCAAAACAATGCTATGTATGAAAACACAAACTAGCAATAACAAAATGGGAACTGTTCAAGATTAAAGAGACTAAAAAAAACTTGAATGCAATGGAGGAGTCTAGATGAAATTAAATCTATATAAATATATGTAAATATATATATATATGATTTTTCAGAGAAAAATAGAAAAAATTCAGTATAGACTGAATTTTATCTATTTATCTATCACAATAGACAATATTATTGTGATAATGATCTTATGGCCTTATAGAAGAATTCCTTATTCTTAGGAAATTGCTGCTGAAGTATTTAGAGCTGAAGTGCCATGATATTGGCAACTTGCAATCAAATGGTTAAAAAGGGGGGGGGGAATAGAGCAAATATGGCAAAATATGTTCAAAAAGAGTGAATCTAGGTGAAAGATATACAGATTCTTTGAGCTTCTCTGTAGGTTTGCATTTTTTTTAAAAAGGAGTTGGAAGAAAATAAGACATAACAAAAATAAATTATGCAATGTTAAGTATAGCTCTACAAAATAAGAACAAGAGAAATGTTCTTTATTCATTTCAACATTTGCTAGGCTCCTGCCACACAGCAGGCTCTGAACTAACTGGTGGGATCACTCTGTTCCCCTTCGGAAGCCTGGTTTTATGGTCATGCTTAACGTGCCTAACTTTCCAGACTTTGGATGCGGCCAATGCCACCCAAGTCTCAGAGGACCCTTCTGTGACAGCTTCACCCCTGTTATCCTGGGTTCCTAGCAAGGTGCCTGGCCCCAGGAGGCATTCAATAAAGCCTGCTTCCAGGAGTCCACACTTTGGTGGGGAAGGAAATTGCATTAACAGATCATTTAAAATAGGATTAAGGACATGGTGCACACAAGGTATTAGAGCATTTTAATTACCATTTAAACGCTTACCTTTATGATACCCTCCCCCTCCTCATCTAACTTTATTTCCTACTCTTCCCTACTAGGAATCCTCCCCTTCTTTATAGCATTCTGGTTCCTACCCCAATGCCTTTCCTCAGCTCATGCTGACCTCCTAGCTTGGCATGAATGAACTTTCATTCTTTTGATTCACCTGTCCACAGCCTACCCAGCTCAGGACTACTTTTACAATGTGCACACGTCATTTTCCCAATTGTAGTTCACAAAGCCAGACAGAGTATCAGATATTTCAGTATTTCCTACAGTCCAGCTCATCAAAATGTGGCGGGAGAACCAGCAGCATCCATATCAACTGGGAGTCCATTCGAGCTATAGTCTGGCACCCTACCCAGCCACAACCACAGAATCAGAAACTGCAGTTGAACAAGTTCCCAGGGAGATTCATGGTCACATCAAAGTGTGAGCAGCACAGTTCTATAACACTAACTATTGTATGAATAAAGCAGAAGCTCAAATGTTTTGAGACCTGAGGCCCTCCCTGGGGATCCTACGGGGATCCTTAGGTTTGCCATCCAGCTTGGAGCCCCCTTCGTTGGCTCTTTGCTCCCTCAGAAGGCCGATATGAAGGTCAGCGTGAGGGAGACACTGAGGCAGTGTGCACCGGGTGATGGTGAGGTGAAGCTGCTGCCTTCCCAGCACAGCCAAAAGCAAATGTTGATGTCTGCTTCGCGGGTACATTTCTGGGGAAAAACTGGCTTTACTTCTAGGACCAAAATGCTCATCGCTTCAGCGTCCGAGCCTCGGGATGAGAGGTATGTGGTAGACAACATTGGAACTGTTTCCAGCCTTGACTTACTGACTCCTCTGTTTCTCTTCTGTCCCTAAGCTGATTGACAATGAAACCCGGGGTGTGACTTAGCGCGCTGTTTGCGTGAGCGCCACGGGGGGCCTGCTGGCAGCCGGCGCTCCGGAGGACAACGGGCATTTCTGCAGGGCTGCGGGCGTGTGAGGAGGGCGCGGGTGAGAGGGACGCGGGAGAAGCGGGACCTCTGGGAAGTTGATTGTCTGTGAAGGGAGATGTGCCTGTCTGACTGGGAAGCAATGTGGGCTCCAGTGCGCACCAGGCGAGCAGTGGGATGGGAGGAGGCAGGCGAGGCTCCCACAAGGGAGGGTGTCGTTGCAGACACATCCTAGGCACAGCCCCCTTTTCTCGCCCTCCGCAGCTTTTCCTCCGAGGATGTGATTTCCCAATGAGGGGGCCTTGGGGGAGGGAGGGGGAGGGACGAAAGGTGCCCGAGGGAGGGCTCTTCTCTTGGCATCGCCCGCGAGCCGGCAGAGGAGGAGGGAGAGCTGATGGGGACAGATGCGCTCCCACCGGGGCCCGGGGCGACCCGCGGAGGGTCCATCCCCAGCCCTGGACTCGCCCCCTGCCCAGGGGCCGCCTGAGTCCTCCCGGCTGGAAGCCCGCGCCCCTCTCCGCGGGGAGGGCTGGGAGGGGAACCCCCGCCGGGAGCGGACCCCGCCCCTCCTTGTCACCGGTGAGCCCCGCCCCCGGCCCCGCCCACGCTCCGCCCCCGCAGTGAAGCCCCGCCCCCGCCGCCGTGGAGCCCGGCCTCCGCCCGCCCCGCCCCGCCCCCGCCCCGTCGCCGCGGAGCCCCGCCCCCGCCCCGCCCCGCCCCCCGCCGCCGAGGAGCGGGCGCAGTCGGCCGGCCCCATGCTGCTGAGCGGAGCTCCGCCCGCGGGCTCCGGCCCCGGGCCGCGGGCTCAGGGCGGCGCGGGGGGCGGCCCAGGGGGCGGCTCGCGCCGGGGCGCCGGGGGGCCCGGGGCCGGCCCGGGCGGGGGCGGCAGCGGCGGGGTGGCCAGGTGGCTGCGGGAGCACCTGGGCTTCCGCGGGGGGAGCGGCGGCGGCGGCGGCGGGGGCAAGCCGGCGCCCCCGGAGCCGGACTACCGGCCGCCCGCGCCCTCCCCGGCCGCGCCCCCCGCGCCGCCCCCGGACATCCTGGCCGCCTACCGGCTGCAGCGGGAGCGGGACTTCGAGGACCCCTACTCCGGGGGGCCGTCCGGCTCCGCCGCCCCGGCCGCCCCGGCGGCCCCCGGCCCCGCGCCGCCCCCGCGCCACGGCTCGCCCCCCCACCGCCTCATCCGGGTCGAGACCCCGGGCCCCCCGGCGCCCCCGCTCGAGGAGCGGACCCCCGGACCCCCGGCCGGCGGCGACAGGGTGAGTGCCGGGGCGGGCGGGGGGCCCGGGAGCAGAGGCGGGCGGGGGTCCGGGGCTGTGGGGAGGGACAAAGGTGGCCCGGCCGCCCGGCCTCTCGGTGTCAGGGCTCCGGACGGGCCCGGTCTCAGTCCCTGACCCCGGGGACTCGGAGCCTTCACCCACCACCTTTGTTCCTATTCCCCACCTCCGAAGCCGGGACGCGTGCCCCAAACTCTGCCTCTGTCCCCCTGTCGTCGCCCCAGGACTCGGTGACCCTCCCCCGCTTGGGCTCTGATCTCCTCCTCGCAGCCCCCTGGGACCTAATCAGCCGGCCTTTTTCTAACGGGATTGGAGTCCCCCTCACCCCCCTCCTTGGCCTTTCTGCCCGCTGGGAGCAGCAGCTCACTGCCCTTTGATCTCTGACCCCTCCCACCGGAGCAGAGCCAGCACAAAGCTCCACTCCTCACTCTCCCCTGGGAGCCCGGGCATTCCTGCAGGTGCTGGAGCCCCGGGAAGGGGGTGGCGGCGGGGGTTTCTCCCCGTGGACACAGCAAGAGCTGGCCTCTGCCTCAGCCAGCCGGACTGGAGCTGGGTGGGCTGTTGTTCTCAGGAAACCCATCGGGCAGTGTGCAGCTCTGTGCTGAGGATGCTGACCACGGGGGTTCAGGCAGGCCCACTACGACCTCCTTTCCTTGTGCCCCCAGGTGTGGGGGCCCGTCGGTGCTCAGAACCTGTTGCCCAGAAGGGGCTGAAACGCTGCTTTTCCTCCTGGCCTCTCTCTCCCTCTGTCCGTTCTGAGGGTGGCGGAAGCCGTGTGTGGGTCTGCAGGCTTAGGGCAGATAGGAGAGCTGGGCAGCCCCTGTTCCAGAGAACTCCCGCTGTGCCTCAGCAGGCCCCGTGGAGAAGCCACCCCATGCCCAACCCCAGTCTGATATAGCCCTCCCTGACAGCGGAAAGCTGTCCCCAGGTCCCTCTAGCCCTACATTTTATGGCTGTCTGGGTCGCTCTGGATCTGCTGACCCTCTTCACTCCCCCTGAATAAGCTCAGCTCTGGGGCTTATTACCCCCCAACAGTTTTGTTGGGTTGGAGAGCAAAGTTGCTGTCCGAATCCACTGGCTCCAGGGTGGAGGCTTTCAGCTGAGAGAGTGCCGTTCTGCCTGGTTTCCTGGGTAAGAGAGATGTGTCAGGGTCAGAGCAGAAGCCTCAGGAATGCGAATTATGTTTTCCCTAGTTCCTGCCATGGGGCACGACTGCCCATCCTGAGTTAGGAAGTAGGCTGTGCTTTCTTCACATGTCCTTACCATAGTCTTCCTTTTTCCTGATTGTCCCCTGCTATTGGGTGATGTGATGGTGGTAGAGTAAGGCACAGAGAGTATTAGGTCTTGTTTTTACTATTAAAAAAATTTTTTTTGTTGTTGTTAATTTGAGAGAGAGAGAGAGAGAGAGAGAGAGAGAGAGAGAGAGAGAGAGAGAGAAACATCAATGGTAAGAGAAAATTGATTGGCTTTCTCCTGCATGCCTCCTACTGGGGATAGAGCCCTGATCAAGAATGGAACCGTGACCTCCTGGTTCATGGGTCCGTGCTCAATCACAGCCACACCAGCCGGGCTTGTTTTCACTATTGACCAATAGTGTCCTCCTCCCCGTCTACACCCATTCACACATGGGCCCGAGCTGTTCCTGGCCCTCTTCGTCCAGATGATTTAACAGCCTTCTCACCAAGCTGTGGGCTCCTCCAGGACAAAGACCATGTTCTCCTCAAGTCTGTGTCTTCCAAATGGTGGACACCATTTTTAGCAAAAAGAATGGTGCATAAATATGTCCTGAATGATGGCTGTCCATTGCCGTTGTGGCCTGAGGGTCAGAGACTCCCCTTGTACATTTCACCACAAAAACCTCACAACCAGTCAGAGACCTGCAGCCTCCTCTCACCGAGGGCATCCATGCCTCACCCTGGGTCAGCTCTGTGATCTGTGGGCTGTTCAGACCTTCGGGGCCAAGAGGTGTCTGACTCCTTTGTCAGCTGCAGGGACAGGAATGAAATCCAGCAGGATATCCTGGGAACCACACAATCAGTGGCTTCTTTACCAGGATGCCATCCAAGATGGCCCAGGGGTAGGGAAGCGGACCTGGGACTCCCCACCATTCTGAGAGAGCCGCTTCACCCCTTTAGGAGCCGTTTTGGGGACCCTAGAGTCTTCCCTTAGGAAGAGCCCTGATAAGGTACCTGAACCCCTTACCCTAAGTCCAAGTGTCAGCCTATGCCTACAGAGCTCACTCTGCCCCTGAACAGTGAGCTGGCTCTGGCTCTTGAGCATTACTGAGCCAGTTTTTCCATTCTGTGGCTGTTTTATCCCTATTCTCTGTTCTCTCTCCTCTCAGCCCTGCAGATCCTCTTGGCTTGTTGCTTTTGGGTCACTGGCTGAGGTGAGGTAGGCACTGGGGACCAGGATGTGCCTTGGGCTGGTCAGTTCCTCTCATCCAGGAGCCCAGTGGCTGGTGCTGGGTGGGTCACTTGTCTAAGGGGCTGGTTTGTGAGGTTTGCTGAAATGGGTGGAAATGCCTCTGTAATGAGCCAGAGAGATTGAGGGGAAATGAGTTCAGTGAATATGGGGTAGGAGAGAATGGGGACTTAGAACCCTGAGAGGCCCAAGGGGCTCAGGACCATTAGCTTTCTCCCCAGGCAGGGCTCTGGCTGTTGGCCCACCCTGAGACCCACTGCTGCAGTTGGCAGGATAAACGGGTGGCCATCTGGGCAGGCCTGGCAGGACAGGCATGGGAGCAGCAGGAGCCGAGCCCTGCATGGGATGGGAAGGCAGGGACTCGCCATCTGGCCGAGAAAGAGCTCCCGCTTGGTGTTGGACCCTTTCTGGCCACCAGGCTATACTCTGACAGAGATTAGAGAGCCAGGCCTTCCCTTGCTTTGCTCCCTTTTTCTCAGACCTTCAACAGGAAAAACCTGGTCTAGGAAAGGGGGATGGGGATGGGAAAGGGGCCTGAATGGATAAAGCTCTGAGCTGTCTGTGACCATCTGCACAGCGTGTCCTTTGTGCCCATCATGCCAAGATATGTGTGTGTGTGTGTGTGTGTGTGTGTGTGTGTGTGTGTGTGTGTGAGAGAGAGAGAGAGAGAGAAATGTGATGGGAACAATAAGACAGGCATCCTGTATGAAGTGAAACTAGAGCTCTTTATTTTTTTTTTATTATTATTTTTTTTTGCATTTTAAGTTTTATTTATTTATTTATTTATTTATTATTATTTTTTTTAAATCAATCTTTATTGTTCATATTATTACAAAGGTTCCTCATTTCTTCCCCCCTCCACCAGGTTCCCACCCCACCCTCTGCCCCCTCCCCATCCCCCATTGTCCTCATCCATAGGTGCAGTTTATGTTCAGTCTCTTCTTCCCTCAATTTCCCAAATAGTAAATCCCTTTTCAGATAGTAAATCAGTTACTTAGCATTTTCTCAAATCAATAATACCTCCACATGCCCAATGATACACTTCACACAAAAGACATTTCCCAATAGGTCCACTAGCCTCATCCAGGCCCCACCCAAGGCACTCACAGATCAACACCCCAGTCCTAAACTAACTCAACACATCCAGATCTAAGCCTTCATCACTTGATTCAGCAGACCCTCAAGTTCCCATGAAAGTTTCCAGCCATGTCTGAGAAGCAGCCGTGGGGCAGGGGCAGGCAAGGAGCGAGCTGTTCTGGGCCTGGCTGCTCAGGGCCTGGCGAAACTAGAGCTCTTTATATTTAGCTTATGTGGGTGTTTCTGGAGTTCATGGACCTCCAGAAATTGTGCAGATATTTAAGTAAATGAGCATTTTTCTGGGAAAAGGGGTTCTCACAGGGGTTCACAGGGCCCAAAATATTAAGAATGTAAATAAAAATAGGTGTACCTTATAGATGGTATGTATCCACATGGACTTGGATCCTTCAGGCCCAAATTTAGAATGAATGAACAGACAGTAAAGTGAAGGAGATATTTGGGTGTCTGAAATTAAACAGGACATGCCTCCCCTGGGGTAGGGGCCCTCCTTTACCCCGTGTTCATTGAGTGTTTATGAATCATTCAATGATTCCTAGGCCCTGAAAGGGAATCACTACCCAGAAGACCTGGTACTTGACTTTTTTTGAGTCTGCTTGTTTGCCTTAATTTTCCTTGTTATGCCTTCCACAGAGCCCGGAGGTCTGATCTGTTTACCTAGCAATGGCCTCCTGTAGAAGTAGAGGGAGGAGGAGAGGGGTCCGGATCAGGGATCTTTGTGGACTGGCCAGACCTCTTAACCCTTTGTGGCCTGAACTGGTCGTCTGTGCTGCAGTTGGTGCTTTGGGGAGGGCGGAGGCCTGAGACCTGGGGGACTGTGTGGCAGGCCAGTCCCCTCAACCCAGTGCCGCCTCCTCACGCTGCGGCAGTCCAACCCTCTTGAAAACATCTTGGCTGTTGGCTTGGACGATGACTCAGAGACACCTCAGCCCTGGCTCTCTGTCCATTGGGACCCTGTAGACCAGGAAAGGGAATGGGAATGGGAGCAGCTGGCCGGGCCCTGGGCTTGGAGGGGGGCCTGCTGCCTACTCCAGTCGCTCTCACCACAGAACCGGTGTGATCTTATATGACGGCAATGAGCCACTGGTGCTTCTCCAGCCTGGGTCCCAGACGTGGGGCTTCACAGCACTTCCAGATGCTTGAGTCCTTTGGAGCTTGTTCTGTGCCTGTCACTGTGAGCTTCAGGAGGACGAAGGAACATGGTCTCTTCATCGTTAGTGACATAATGGCGGGCATTTACTGAGCACTTACCTGTGCCTGGTACCATTTTGCAGCGGCTGACAGGGATTAGGCCAGTCGATCCTTACCACAACCCAATGAGGAAATTCAGTTATTATCCCGGGCTACATGCAGGGAGACCGAAGCACAGGAATGCTGGTCACACCGGCATGGCTTCCTAGGTAGGAAGCAGGAGAGCCCAGGTTGACTCCAGATTGGCTGCCAGCTCCATGGCAGGGGGCCTTGCACTTATGGAGAGGAGCCCTGGAGAGCAGAGGCATCTGTCCACTAGACATTTGCTAGTGAACAAGGGGAAGGAGACTCAGAGAAGGAATGAGGAGCGCATTCTGGGCTGAGTTCACCCATTTCTGGATGGTGAAGGACAGCATTTGCCACCTAATCTCGAGGGAGCCATAGACACACCTCATAAGGGTTGGCAGCATCGATTGCACTCATCATCTTGTTCCCAAGCCTGTGAGGTAGGAACTAATGCCAGCCCCATTTTACAGATAAAAATACAGAGGCCTCCAGGCATTAAATGTAAACTAAAGAAATGGAGAAAAGGGGCAGTGGTAGATGTTGGGGACCTTGCCGAACCAAATCCTGTAATGTTTGTCCCCTTGGTCTCCCTGGACTCACAAGCCCCATGGAGGGCGGAGGGCCAGCTGCAGAGTAGAAGGTCCCACCAGATGGTGGGCCTTGCAGCCACCTCAGGAGAGGCCTGGGCAGGAAGGAGGGTTCAGACCTGACAGCTGCTCCGGGAGGCACCCTGAGCTGGGTGCCTCCTGGAGGCACCCTGCTGGGTGACAGAAAGGGGGGGACCTGGCTGGCAGGCAGTATGGGGACAAGGGGGCCTCTGGGCAGCCGCTACTTACATACTAGCGTGGAAATGGTTCAGCATTTCAACAGCCTGTGACTACCAGACGGCTCGCCCAAGTATCAGCCCTGGCCTTGATGTCTTCCCTGCTAGTTTCTTTCTTCCGCTCCCGAGTCAGGGGCTTTGATTCCCATTCTAAAGCCGAGTCTCTTGACAGCCTGCTCCTATAGCTGCTGCTGGTCAGAGTTCAGATAAATGGGGATCTGAGAGTCTGTGTATGGGGAGAAGGAGGCCTGTGGAGCCTGCAGGTGATGTGTACTGAACACCCACTGAGTGGTGTATAATAATGAGCACGTTGGAGCCCCATAAAGGGCCCGTACACAAAATAAATAGAGGTAGGACAAAGGCGTCAGAAGCCTCCAGGGGCAGCTTCCCCCTCTGAGCAGTCCTGCCTCCTGTGTGACCCAGAAGCTCCTGAGGAAGCAGGCCTGGCCTGTGACATGGGTCCTGTGTGCTAGGACAAGTGTCTGTCCTGCCTGGTTTCCCAGCAGGCATTTCTGCTGTTGCTCCTGATTCCCAATCCCATGGGCGGCTCCTTGGGCACCCCAGCCCAGGGCAAGGGGGTTGAGGCTTCCTGGAGCAGGGTGTGGAGCCAGGAGTGGAACAGAGGAGCCATTGAGCTGCCCACAAAGCTGCCACCTGGGCGCCCACGGGCACCAAGGGCTGGCGCTAGGGAGGCCCACGCCGGCCTGGGAGGGGTCGTGGCTCTAGGCACCGGCCCAGGACTCCAATGGGAAGGGTGCTGAGTGCAGCTGTGAGAAAGCTTGGTGAGGGAAGGGCTGGTGGTGGGGGGGTTTCCTGTGGAGTTGGGGGTCGCCGGTGCATGGTTCTGGGTGCTTCTCCTCAGCAGCTTCCAGGGTCTCAACCCCCTACCTGATCCTCCACCCCACCCAGATTCATGCCTCCTCCCTCTTCTGAATGAACAAGGAAATGCACTTCCTTTGTTCATTCTTCCTGTTTTATGTGAACTGATTTAACAAAGATTTACTGATCGCTTTGGGGTACTTGGGAATTTAGCAAGTAAACATGGTTCTTGCCCTCAGGAAGCTCACTGTCTGCAGGAAGACAGATAACAAAACAAGTATTCACTGCACACGGTGATGACTGCCTGGCTCAGAGCACCTGACCTGACTGGGGGGAGAATGGAAAGGCTTTCTGAAAGAAGAAAAGAATTTGATTCAAGCTTAGGGAAAGCTTTTGAGACGGGGGAAAAAGAGCATTGAGCTTTCAGGTAACAATGTGATCTGAGATGGGTAAAGAGAAACCAAAGAGGCAAGTGGAATCTTTAAATCTCTTTTAACTGTGGACTTTTTATTGAGGCCACTGGAGAGCCATTGCAAGGTTTAAGGATAGCGTGTCCGTTGATTCATTACTGTTGAGTTGCTACCATGAGTAAGTTGTGAGGCTGAGTGCTAACTGGGCTGGGCTGAGTGCTAACAGGCTCCCTCCAGATCCCCCTTGGTCAAGTGGGTCACATGGGGGAGTGCCAACTGGCCTGGGAGGAAGCGGTTTGGGTTAGGAGGGGGTGAGTGGATTTATTTTCTTCTTAGAGGAAGGAGGATGAGGTGGGCTCTGAGGGAGGTAGGAGCTGATCTAGTAGAAACAATTTTCTAATAGAAACATCACTCTAGTGCCTCCTGTGAGCTGGGTACTTACTGGAGCCGGAGAGACAAAAATGACAAAGGGCTCCAGGCTATGGCTGATCTGGTGGTGGGTTGGGAAGACCTGAGATCTGGGTAGTGTTCTCCGAAGCAGGCAGAGATCTGAGGGCGGAAAGGGGCTGGGCGGCTTGATGGGGACAAAATGGAGTAAGGTGGGAGCTGAAGAGCTGAAGGGTGAGATGGTAGGAGCCTTTGGGACATGCTTTGGAGACCCTTGGAGGGGTTTGCAGCAGACACAGGAACATGAAGAAGGGGTCTCTGAGGTGGGGATCTTCCTTTTTCCATCTCTGCCTTACTAAGGGTTCCCAGATCCACTAACCCGGGGCAGGGAGGTCACCCTTACAGCTTCCCTGCTCACCTGGCTCCCACAGTCCTGATCTGTGGATCTTGGCCCAGAACCAAAGCCTAGACCGAGAATGGGGGAGAGGCAGGAGGGGCCCTCCCCGTGCTGCCGGCCCCAGAGCCATGCCTTATTAACGCAGCGCTCCCCTGAAGGGCAGGGTGGGCTGGGCTCTGTCTCTGCCTCAGCCAGTCCTCCCCTCCCTGCCCCCCAGGAGCCTGTGGCTTGGAGAAAGGCTCTATTGTCCTCAGTTGTGCCTCGCCCTGAGCACCTTGAACTCCTCTGCGGGGTGTGCAGCCTGTGGTTCCCTCTGCCTTGACTGGGAGCAGGGACAGAGCGGTGGCCATGAGCCGTTTGTGTGGGAGAACGCGTGGGATGTGGAGGGCCAAGGCCAAGCCTTGCCTGTCCCTGCTCTCCAGGAGCCAGGGGGTTTCAGCAGAGCCCAAATCCTGCCTTTCCTATGCCTGTCCTAAGGCCGTCTCCTCCTGGGACGGCCACGGTGCCCACTGGTGGCAGGTTGGCAGCATGATCTTGTACAAAGGATGCAGGTTCCAATCCATGGTCTGGGGCATGCTGTCCCCTGCCTGTGTTGAACCTCCCTTTTCTTAAAACGGGGATAATAACACCCACGTGATGATTATGAGAGTGTCCTGCAGCTAAACCAGCAGAACCGTGGCATCAAGTGGGTACTCAGTCTTTCTGTTCCTGATGGTCAAACAATATTTGTTCAGCATCTGGTAGGCATGGGCCAAGCTCATCTCCAAGTTGCCCCTTGTGCCTGTCCGCTCTTTGGACTCCGTTGTAAGCAGTTCTCTGAATTGATCCCCTCTGTGGAACCACCTGGTGGAAGCTCTTGGGCTGCCTGGACCCTGACTGAGGCAAGCTTTAAGGTCCAGAGTCTCATCCTGGCTATTCAGCTCAGTGGGTGGCCCAGAGGCACAACGTTCACAGAAAAGAAAGTACCATTTTGGGGGCAGCCTAGTGGGAGACCCTGCAAAGGCAGAGCCAGGGCCTGTCCCCGTCTAAGTTCAGAGCCTGCCCGTGGGCACCTGGGGCTCCGGGTCTAAGGCAGCCTGTCCAGGACTCTTGCTCTTGTAGCTGGAGCATCTGTGGAGAAGAGCTGACTCTCGGATGCCTGAAGCCTGCTCTCTCCCCACAGCTGGCAATCCTAGAAGACTATGCAGACCCGTTTGATGTCCAGGAGACAGGTGACAGCCTCGCAGGAGCTTCTGGAGCCCCAGAGAAGGTCCCGGAAAACGATGGCTACATGGAGCCCTATGAGGCCCAAAAGATGATGGCCGGTGAGTGATAGAGTAAGGGAGAGTGCTCCCTGAGGCTTGGGCATCTGCAAAACAAGCTTTGGGACCCACATGTCTTAAGAACTGATTCCTTGGTCTCTAGAAAGTACAGAGAATGCCTTTGCTGGGTCCTCGGGGAAGGTGCCACTACTTTCAAGATAGTCACTTTGGAGAAGGAGCTGTGATTTGTGGTACCTGAGACCTGAGGTGGTAGAGAAGGCCACACAACCAAAGGTCAGACAGGTGGAAGCATTTGGGAAAGTCAGGAAGGGCAAGATAGTGGTGTGGGCTGGGGGTCATTGGTCCCTAAAAGAGAATCACTAGCCTTAGAAAAGGTGGTAAGTTTGAAACGATGTGATGTCAAACAATGTTATGACAATTGGAAACGCGTGACTATAAATGCAGATGCAGTGCCCCGGATGCTGGGCAAGTAGTTCAGGGAGTGAGGGCAGGAGGAAATGGATAAGGCCTGGCTCTGGGGAGCAGGGACCAAGAAAGGGCCCAGGGAAAGACCAAATGGGGCAAGGAGGACGGGGTGAGTCAGTCTAAGCCAAGCTCCCAAGGCAGGATGAAAAGGAAGACATGTTCACAGGAGAGGCAAGAGGAGAGAGGCGAGGAGGGACGTTGAAAGGCCATAAAGGCTGGAATGAGGCCTTTGGACTTGCTCCAGAAGGGGAAGGGGAACCATTATGGATTCTTGAGCAAGAAAACAACAGGACAAATAAGGCATTTTAAGGGGATTACAAAGGCTTTGGTGTGCAGAACAGACTAGAAGAGCTGGGCATCAATCAGAAAGATGAGTTAGTGGCCTATTGTGGAAATTACTGAGGCTTTACAGAACCAATAATTAACACTCCTCTCTTCCCCTCTGGAGCTCGGAAATAATTGAGAAATAAGATCAAGGAAACAAAATGGAGATAACAATGTCAGTTTTATCACTGATAAAGGTGATTGGAGAACATTACTTAGCTGTGTCACTACAATGGGCTTCTCAGTACTTCCCCAGGAATTAAACTTGCCCACTCAGGCGTGGGCAACGTAGCATGACTGTAGGCCCCTGCACAGGGGCAGGAGGAGAAAGAACCAGAATGTTCTCTCTGTGTAAGAAAGCAGATCAGATAAGCTGCTCTCCCTCCTTGGGAGAGACGGGAGAGGGGCAGAGAGCACTCAGGAGTGTTATTCCATGGAGCCAATGGAACGAGGTCTGGAGAATGGAGCTTCACCCTAGTGGTAATCTAGATGTGGAGAGATGAGGGTGAGACTCACCAGGCACTGACAATGGCAGATGGGACTCAGACAGTGAAGGAGGGCCAGGACCAAGGAGAGCAGTATTGGGGACAATGGGAGGGTGGCTGCCATAGTTAGGTCAGAGGGGTGTGGCCCCCTAGGTCAGCGGTCACCAACCTTTTGGACCTCATAAACCACCAGTGGTCCACGGACCTCCGGTTGGCAAACACTGCCCTGGGAGGTCCATGCCCTGGAGTTGATGAGAAAATTTGCACGTATGGGGAGCTCCATAGCTTTTATACCAGTTTCACTGGGTTCAGAGATCTCAAAAAAGAAAATGGCAGAGCAGACTAGAAGAACGTTTGGGGAGAGTGGTGAGTTGGAAACATCAAACTGAAACATCTCTATGGCAACTAGAAACATAGATGCAAAGGGTTCCATGAGACTGGGCAAGTCTGCAAAGATGAGGCCTGGGAATAAGAATAAGAGTTGGCCTTGGGAAACTGAGACCAGGAGAGGAACCAGTAAAAGAGACCAAATGGGAGGACAGTCCATGAAGGGGACAGTTTCAAGGATGGAGTGGTCAGCAGTGTCTGAGCAACAGAGAAGGATTTTGTCATATTGTGAAATGGTATCACTTGGGACACAAGGAAATAAGTGGAGTTGGGTAGCAAGAAGATGGACCGGGAGAAGACCCTGACTTAGTTTCCTAAATGTGTAAGCCTCAGCTCCCCAGCCCTTGCTGGTCGCCCCAGGATCCTTTTCCTGTCTTTCATTCTGGTGCCTCTGCCCCCGCAGCTGTTGGGTTCCCTGTTTTTGGAACCCCAGAGATGTTTTGAGGGAGAGGGACTCTGTATGTGTGCCCCAGAGCCCCTGGCGTCTGTCTATGAAGGAAGGCTGGCTGGTCGCTGGGAGCCCTGCTGGGGGCCTGAGCCAGGGCAGCCCGCCTCGCCTCTCACCTCCCTCCTGCTCGCCCTGATAGAGATCCGGGGCTCCAAGGAGCCGGCCAGTCAGCCCCTGCCGCTGTATGACACACCCTACGAGCCAGAAGAGGAGGGGGCCACCCCCGAGGGCGAGGGGGCCCTTTGGCCCCGGGAGTCCCGCCTGCCTGAGGACGATGAGAGGCCGCCCGAGGAGTATGACCAGCCCTGGGAGTGGAAGAAGGAGCGGATCTCTAAAGCCTTTGCTGGTGAGTCCTGGACGGAGGGGGCAGGTCCGCTGGGGAGCTTTTCGGGCTCGGGGGAGGGAAGGAGTGGCACCCTGGGCAGGGGAGGGGCGGCCCAGGAGAGAAGTGTAGTTGAGTCTTCACCGTGGAGCTGTGCGTTGGCTGGTGGACAAAGGGCTGTGTGCGGTCAGGCTGTGGGCACAAGAGGAAGAGGAAGGTGTCTCCCGGCATCACCGCCTCTCCGACGCCAGGAGGCTTGGGCCACTTCCATCTCCTGGGGGACTGGGCATGTTTAAAAATAAAGACGTTCCAAACAAAATGATAAAACTTGTGGCATATGTTAAATATTCAACAAAAGAAGGCATTAACCCTCCAAACAATGAAAATATTATAGCTGCCTCTGAAACCGTCAGAGATCCCATCCCTGAGTGAGAGGGCTGTGTCTCCCGGGGTAGGCCAGGCAGACCAGGGGTGTCTGCTCCCCGAGGGTTTCTGAGAAACCCCCTTAACTGAATGAGGGTAGGTTTCCTCTGTACCGAGCACTCCCGTGGCCGTCCCAGGCCTGGAGTCCGACGTGGAGAGGTGTGTGTGGCGGTTTGAGTTGGGGGCACAAGAGCTTTAACTCCTGGATCCTTGATTCAGTGAGGACAGAGAGGACGTAGGTGCCATTGGACTCCATTCCCCTGCCCATGTCCCCTCCTCCTTGGACAAGAGGCTCCTCCTGGAGCTGGACCCAGCCCTGTGCTTGGGGGAGGCCCCCCGGGCAGCCAGACTGAGAAACCACGAGGTTTCCCATTTGTTTCCTGTAAGGCGCGCACCGCTGAGGATGGGCCGCTTCTCTCCAGGAGTCTCCTTGGAGAATCGATACTGTTTGGCTTGCTTAATGGGAAAATCTATGCTCGTCATTAGGAAGCCTTGTTAGCAGTCCTGGCGCCGCCCGTGGCTTCACTCTTCTCGTTGTCAGGGCTTGGGATTGAGGGTGTGGGGGGCAAATTTCACTAAAACAGCTGCCCCCACATCTGAGTATCCCTGACAACCTGTCTCAGCTAGGCGGTGGGGAAAGGAGGGATGGAGGCAAAGGGGGGTGCCAGGAGACTGGGGGAACCCAGAGGTGGTGCTGGGAGACATGGGCAGCTCCTTATCCCTCTTTCCCTCCTTTCCTGGCCCCTTTGGTCCCTGGAAGCTTGTGAGAGGACAAATGAAGGGCTGACAGCAAGACCCTGCTTTTGCCCCCTGAGCCTCCCACCTTTGACCACGCCTGGCCCTCTGAGAGGCCTGCTCCCCTTTCAGAAGCCACCCCTGCCTCCACTCTGACCCTCCTCCTTTCTAGGCTGTCCTGTGTCCTGGCTCTGGGTTTTGGTGTCTCAACCTCTGCCTCTCTCTGTCTCTGTCTCTCTCCCTGTCCCTGCCTGTCTCTCCTCCCTGCTGTGCTACTGGTTCCAGTTGACCTTAAGGTCATCAAAGACCTACCTTGGCCTCCACCGGTGGGACAGCTGGACAGCAGCCCCTCCCTGCCCGACGGGGACAGGGACATCTCCGGTCCAGCCTCACCCCTCCCCGAGCCCAGCCTGGAGGATGGCAGCGGTGGGTCCTGTCGGGGCTTCTGGCCAGGGTGATGTGTCCTCTCACCCCTCGGGCCCTGCGGGCTTGGGTTGGAGGAGCTAAGAGGTGGGGCGTGGTTTGAAGGACCCGGGAACAACCCCTCTCTTCCAGGGGAAGAAGGAAGGGAGGAAGTACACCTCTCCCCGCCCGCCCCAAACGTATGGGGAAGGTGTCACCTAAGGCAGTGGCCGGCAAACTCAACAGTCAGCGGAGCCAAATATCCACAGTACAACGATTGAAATTTCTTTTGAGAGCCAAATTTTTAAAACTTGAACTTCTTCTAACGCCACTTCTTCAAAATAGACTCGCCCAGGCTGTGGTATTTTGTGGAAGAGCCACACTCAAGGGGCCAAAGCGCCGCATGTGGCTTGTGAGCCACAGTTTGCCCACCACGGTCCTAAGGGAAACCCACTATTCTAAATTCACTTCTTTGGGTAGTACTTTGCCTGACCAGAACTTCAGCAATGCAGGTAACTCCTGAGACGGGGGACACTAGCCAGCACAGTAAGTGTCTAGGAAAGGATCTGCTCCTTGCATTTGGTGTCTGAAAGATAATAAGGGCTTGAAAGTGCTGCAGGGAGAGAAGAATAGTCCAAATGGGGAGAAAGAAGGCACTGAACACCTCACCTACGTTCAGTTTTACCAAGAATGGACAGTTGGGGGGAACGGGGTGGGGTGGGGGTGGGGGGGAATGGAGGGGGAGAGTGCATCTTTGCGCATGCACAGAGGCCTGAGCACCTGTTTGTACATGTGTGCCCGGATGTAAATACAGGATGTCACCTGTGCATGTGTACCCATGCCCATGTGGTGTGCTGGCTTCAGCTGTCCCTATGCAGGCTCAGCAGTCAAGTCTGCCCTTGGTCTGAAAGCCTAGAGCCCCCCTCTACTGGGTTTCTGTGGGGGTGGGGAAGGGAGTCTGTGGGCAGCGACCTTGGGAGCGGGGGAGGGGCGGACGGGCTGGTGGCTCTGAGCAGGATTAGCCTGTCAGGATGGCACCAAGGGGAATCAGATAATTGTTCTCGGATCGATAAGTCATTTCTACAGAATGGCTTGGCAAGGGTGATTTGGAGAACGGTAATGAACTCTGAGCAGGAGAAAGAAACAATATTATCAGCACTGAAGCCACCCTGAAGAGGATGGAATAGGGGAAGGCAGTCAGCTGCTCCCCGGGGAGAAGCTTAAGTGGTTTCTCTTGTGGCTCCTCTCCCCTCTTCTCCCACGGTGTAGGGTCTGGGAGGCCCTGTGTGGCACCCAGGGCTGAGCCCCACCTTCACACCCTGGGGGATGGACCCAAAATTCCTTCCCCAGAGTCAGTCGGGCCCATGAGCGTGTCCAGGGAATGGGGGTGGGGTGCTAGCTGTTCTATGGGGCTCCACTCCTAGGGGCCTCAGCGGCTGTGACTGGTGTGTTCCCCACAGCCCAGTTTGAAGGATCTGAGAAGAGCTGCCTGTCACCCGGCCTGGAGGAGAAGGGGCGCCTACCTCCCCGACTCTCTGCCGGGACGCCCAAGTCAGCCAAGCCCCTGAGCATGGAGCCCAGCAGCCCCCTAGGAGAATGGACAGACCCAGCTCTGCCTCTGGAAAACCAGGTGTGAGTGTCTGTGTCCAGCTGGGGACTGTCCCCGCTCCCTTCCCTTCGTAGCACTCGCCTGAGGGGACACTCTGAATGCGTGAGCCTGGTCAGCGAGGGAGGGACCCGGCAGAGATGCTCCCCTTCCTCTCTCTCATCCTCAGCTGGTACCATGGGGCCATCAGCCGGACGGATGCCGAGAACCTGCTCCGGCTGTGCAAGGAGGCCAGCTACCTGGTGCGCAACAGCGAGACCAGCAAGAATGACTTCTCCCTGTCCCTCAAGTGAGTGGGGCTGGCTGGCAGCTTTAGACAGGATCGGCCTGTGAGGGTGGCACCAAGGATAACCAATGGGAGGACAGCCACCAGGACAGGAGGAGGCCCTAACATTCCCAGGCTCAGCCACGCTGGGGAGAGCCCCATCCCCCATGAACCTTTGCCAACTCAAGGAGCTCATGGTTTCTTGGGGGAAATAGTTAATCTGGTATCTAGTTCAGAAGGATTCTGTCACTTGCTAACTGTGTGGCCTTGGGTCCCCTTAATCTCTCTGGGCCTCAGAGTGATTAACTTACAAAGTGAGGGAATAACAATATCTACTTTATAGGGAATGATTAAATGAAATAATGTATGGGGAGCACTTGCCATGGTGCTAAGTGCCCAATAAACGATCACCATCATCATAATTAATGGAAGTCTGAAATGTCCTAAAAGCACAGGCAAGGAGACAGGAACTTTGCCTGAAAGGATCTACAGGGTGAGATGGGGGCTGGGTCCTGGGAGGAGGCCAGGGCTGTGGACACAAAGCTGTTCTTATTTGGGGAGGAGGTGGGGGTGTTGGCCCCTCCAGGTTCCGACTGTACACACTCTGAGGAAGCGGGCAGGAGGTCTGGTTGCTAGTGGCTGACAACTGAGCTCTAAGGATCCTGGAAGGGGTCCCCTCAGCCCGCCTCCCTGGGAGCGGACACAGAGGCCAGGACTGGCTTCCCAGGCTCTCCTGGTGGGATGGCAGGTCCTCTCCCTGGCACCGGAGAGTCCCCCCTGGTGCAGCCTGTACTCCACAGGACCGCCTGTCAGGGCGATTGTCCATCACAGTCCCCTGCCACTACCGGAGCCTCTATATCACCTCCTACCACATTTTCTGGGTGCAATGGAATAGATATATACCGGCACTTCAAACAAATCCAATAGATGGAAACTGGGGACTGCTAAACAGATACATTTGAAGATACTTATTCAGCTTCACTAAAAGGTCATGAAGAAAAGAAAAAATCAAACTACAGTCCTAGCCTGAGCTTTATTCTTGGGTTTAATGAAATTAGCTATGTGACCCAAGGCAACCTTATAACCGCTCTGGGCCTTGGTTTCTCCATTTGCAAAATATGTTGATGGTTACTTCTTAGGTTTCTTCCAGCTCTCATGCTCTGGGAATCTGCAAATTACCATAAAATCAAAGGAGCATTTGGGAAAAATTTGTCAAAAATGTGATTTACATAACTTCCGGAATGTGTATTGCTTTAAAAATTATAGTAAGATTCATAGAGCATATACTGTGTGCCAAATAGCAGCATATATATACCATCTCTTAAACCAACTAGCATCCTGCAAAATCAATCTCTTTTTATAAACAAAAATAGACTCAAGGCCACCAGCTAATAAAGTTCCAGTAGCAGAATTTTTTAAAACTATATTTTTATTGATGTCAGAGAGTGAGGGAGAGGGAGACCAAGATAGAAACATCAATGATGAGAGAGACTCATTGATTAGCTGCCTCCTACACGCCCCACACTGGGCATCGAGCCCGCAACCCAGGAATCAAAGCCGGGATCATTCAGTTCCACAGGCCAACGCTCTCTCCACTGAGCCAGATTGGCTAGGGCTAAGAGCAGGATTTGAACCCAGCTCAGTCTGACTCTTAATAATCACACTGTTCCTCCATTGCACGGCTCCACCCCTCAAGTCTGGAACAGTCTAAGGCAAGAGAGCCTGCAGGGATCTGGCTCCCTAGCAGAGCGCTGCGGAACATGGCCCTGCCTTAGCCCGGGGTGTAGAGGGGAGACTCGTCTGGACGCCTGGCTCCAGCCCTGGCCGGTCTGGCCCCGCCAGCAACTGTCTGCCAGAGCCTCGTTCACATACAAATGGCTTTTCTGAAATACAATTATGGTTTCTCCTCTCTCTGTAATGGAAGGGCTTTCATTGGTAATTAAACAGCTTCCTCCACCGGCCACGCCAGCCCTGGCTCTGCTTCCCCGCCAGTCCCTCCCCGGCCCCTGAGGGTCTGGCAAGGGTCCCGCTGTGTCCTAATGGACCTTTGGGACTTTGTCCCGGGAGCTCAGTTATCCAGATGGAGGCTGAGCTCTCAGCTTCCAACTCCGGTCTCTGGCTACTTGCTCCCCCTTTTGCCCAGACCTGTCCCTCAGAGAAGATGGAACGCACAGTTGTCAGGAGAGGTGATTTCCCCAAGTGCACTGTGGGAAGGGAGCCATCCCCAAACTGTGAGAGAGAGGGTGAGAGGAGGCAGGGTCCACGCTGCTGCCCACAGCCTTGGGCCCGGGCCTAGGCATGGGGCAGACAAGGGAGGGATCGCTTACCGCCTCCCCTTCTACAGGCCCCAGGGGCTGCGCATTTTCCTGAGGCCTCGGCTCCTTTCCAGGGCGTGTGGTCACAGCCTCAGCAGTTATCTCAGACCAGCAGATGAAGGCTGGCCCCACACCCTGACTGACACACACACACACACACACCCCAGAACTGGGGCTTCCAGCAGGCTTTGGGGCCCTGTACCCTGGGGCGGGAAGGATGGAGTTAAGGACCTGTTTTCCTCCCATCCCTTTCCTCTCTTCAGTCACCCCCACTCCCCCCACTTTCTGACTGGTGGGCCTAGTGCCGTGGTCGCCAAACAGCGGCTCTCGAGCCACATGCAGCTCTTTGGCCCCTTGAGTGTGGCTCTTCCACAAAATACCACAGCCTGGGCGAGTCTATTTTGAAGAAGTGGCGTTAGAAGAAGTTTAAGTTTAAAAAATTTGGCTCTCAAAAGAAATTTCAATTGTTGTACTGTTGATATTTGGCTCTGTTGACTAATGAGTTTGCCGACCACTGGCCCAGTGAAATGGGCCCAGGGGCCTCTTTTAACCCAGGCAGGGAGGCAAACGAGGAGGTGTCCAGCCCCACCTCTCACGAGCAAGGGCCTCACCATGAGTTCTCCTCCCACACCTGCTCCTGAGCCCTGTCCTGTCCCCAGGCAGGCTCTGGCCAGCGGGCTCCCCTAAGCAGTGTGACCACTTGCTGGTGATTGAGTTTCAGACCTGGGGCCTGGGCTGTAGTAGTTTGGACAAATGTTGTTCTTGCTGGGGCCCCTCCCCCGCTCTAAGGTTGAGGGTACCCAGATATCTGGGAGCTAGCCAGAGCTGGGGGGAGGGGGAGAAGTGTGTGTGGGGGTCCTTGTCTTGCGGTCTGGGCCAGGCACTACTGCTAACTTCCTAGATTGTGTTGAAAGATGGAGCATGTCCTCTCTGAGGGAGGCATGGAGCTGCAGCCTCACCCATGCCGTCAGCCCAGGCTGAAGGGCTGGCTGGATGGGCCCGGGGTTTGGCTCAAGGCCCAGTTAGCAGGAGGGTGAAGGGATGTCCCTGACAGGGTGGCTGGCTCTCCCCAGCTCACCTCCTCCCCTAGTATCTGCAAGGGAGAGCCCGAACCAAGATTCTCTTGGTTGTCACATCCATCCATCCACCACTCTCCTGCTTCCACAGGAGTGACCCAGCGCCTCACCGGTGTCCTCCCCCACAGCTCAGAAAGGGGGATGGGTAAGCTGGTCCCGGCCACATAGGCTGGAAGGCAGGAGTGCCCGGATACCAGGGTTTGGGGTGGGGGTGAGGGGTGCTGGTCCCTCCAGTTTCCACATGTACACACACCCTGTACACTCACTCACAAGCACATTCTTGGCACACCCTGTGCCCTCACCACAAAACCAATACCTATTGCTACCTACTTACAAAATCCCCTCCGCCCCCTCCCTGCCTTCTGGACTGACCTCCACCTTCCATAGCCACCTCCACTCTGCTGGTTTGGAACATTAACCGCAGGGCTGCAGGAGGGAGGGGCCTGGGAAGGGCCTCCACTCACCAGGGTCTCCTCTCTCCCCAGGAGCAGCCAGGGCTTCATGCATATGAAGCTGTCTCGGACCAAGGAACACAAGTATGTGCTGGGCCAGAACAGCCCGCCCTTCAGCAGCGTCCCGGAGATCGTGCACCACTACGCCAGCCGCAAGCTGCCCATTAAGGGCGCCGAGCACATGTCCCTGCTCTACCCCGTGGCCATCCGGACTCTGTAGGCGCGAGGCTTGGGCACTGCGTTCCGCCTGGACCCAGTCCTGTGCCTGCGCCCGGGCTGAGGGCTGTGGTCCGTCCCAGGCCTTTCTTACCCTCTCCCCGGGTGGAGTGGGAACTGGAGATTCCTTAATTTATTGTAAAGAGTAAGGGCTACGGGGCCCTGGAGTAAGAGGAGGTCTGGAGCCCAGGAGAGGAGAAGCCCTGGGCAGCCCCTGGAGGAAGGGGGCTTCCAAACCTCGAGTCTCCCGAAGAGTTTCAGATCCGCAGCCCCAAGCCCTTTCCCCTCCACCCTCTCTCCAGGCCCGTGCAAGGCGGAGCAGGACGCAGGCCTGCGGGGCACCCTGACCTCTTCCCCTCCACACACACACACACACACACACACACACCTCTTCCCCTACACACACACACACCACACACACCTCTTCCCCTCCACACACACACACACACACACCTCTTCCCCTACACACACACACACACACACACACACACACACACACACACCACACACACCTCTTCCCCTCCACACACACACACACACACACACACCTCTTCCCCTACACACACACACACACACCACACACACCTCTTCCCCTCCACACACACACACCACACACACACACACACACACACACACACACACACACACACACACGCCCGGCAGCCCCCTGGGATGGAGATTGCATGGGGCGGGAGAGGGAGAGGATGGGGCGGAGGAATCGGTGCGGTCCCCGCCTTGGGTTCCGGGCTCCCGGCGCCCGGCCAGAGGCAATAAATAACCCGGTGCCGCCTGCACAGCGTCTGCGCCTTCAGCGCCGCAGCCCGGGCTGCCGGGTGGGGAGCGGCGGAGCGAGCACCGATCTGTTTATACATCAGCTCCGAGCAGACACAGCCGGCTGCGAAAAGCGCCTTCGAAGCATCGAGTTCCTTCCTTTGACGAGCGATCAAAACACCCCGCATGGCCCCCGCCCCGGAGCCGCCGGCCTCGTGGCGCCCCCTCTCCGCCGCCGCGCCGGCTCCGGCCCGTGTCTGGGCGGAGGGAGCCGGAGACAAAGAGGCGGCGCGCCGGCGGGAGGAGCGGGGGCCCTGCCACGCGGAAGCCGCGCGCCCGCGAGCTGGGAAAGCTGGCACAGCCACTGCGTTTCCTCTCCAGAGGAAGCGGGCCTGCCGCCGCCGCCTCCGCTCACTGAGGATGGGTCCGCCCGGACCTGCAGCCGGCGGGCCTCGACTCGATCTCCCTCCCCGCCGCGGCTCAGGGCCCAGGCCGGCGGGGTGGGGGGGAGGCGTCCGCGCGCGCCCTCTGCTGGCCGTGCCCTTAACTGCGGGACCCGGGCGCGGGATCACACCGGCCCGTGGCCCCCAGTGCGCCCCTGCTGCAAACTGCCGAGGCTCGTGGGCCCAGCTCCTGGGAATACCCTTGGGCCGCCAGGCAGAGCTGCTGTCAAGCCACTCCAGGCCTGCCCTCCCGCTTTCCTGGGCAAGCTGAACAAAGACTCCACGAGGGGCTGAACACACCCCGGAGGTGGCTGCCTTGGGAGGACAGTCTAATGAACCTTAGATCTGCACCTCCGAAGTGTGATGCGAAGCATGGGATTTTGGATTTTCGAATTCAGTGGTTAATTTATTAGGGATCAGGATGGAGGATATGTGATCCAACAAATGGACTAGGTAAGAATCCTGTGGAGACAATAGAATCACTTGACATTGGGCACTGCTTTAGAAATTCCCTCAGAAAGGGTTGCCCTATATTTAAGTAGATGCAAAAACAGTTCCAAAAAGGTTAGGTGGTGTGCTCCTCTGTTTCCTTGCTGTCATCTCACTACCTGGTGCTCAGAGAAGGACCAGGAGTAACAGGTCCTGGAGCAGGCCAGGCCAACCCTGCCTCCTTGGCTCTGGGATGTCTCGGTCCCCACCCCCCACCCCTTGTACCCAGTCCACCTTCTCCAACACCTCTCACACCTGCCCCCCTCCTGACCAGGAAGCCTCACACTTGCACTCAGAGAGGCCCTCTGTCCGGAAGGATGCCCTTGAGCAGGGAAAGGGGTCGCTAGCCGGGTGGCCTGAGTGGGTTCCTTTATTCAGAGGATACTACCAAGCTCAGAATGTCTGCACTGGCCTATTAGTCGGCCGCTTGAGTGGCTTCTGCCAGTACCTACCCCGTCCTGGGGCAGAATAAAGCAACCCAGAGGGCAGAAAAGCGGTTTATTTGTAAAGGAGACTATGGGACAAGAAGAGAAGGTCTGAAGAGCACACTACATAGAGAGATTGGGCCAGGTTCTGATTACAGTACCTGCTTAAGAACTTGGGAGAGAAGATCAATTGTGCTGTTAAACTGGGGCGCTGAGAGATTTCCTATAAATTTCTCTCTGGGGTCCAGCCTCTATCCCTTTGAAGGCATTTGCCAGCCCTTTTGACAGTGGATAGCCCAGAAGAGGGAGAGGACTGAGGGGAGGGTTTCTAAGATGCCAGCATCTGTGCTCCCACTTCATCTTTAGGCTCACAGCCTCCTACACACACACACACACACACACACACACACACACTACTTATTACTTGTCAGCCCCAGTCTTTTGAAATTTTTCTTAGTTTGGAACGAGAGGTGTTTTCTTTGCCCCAAAACAATAATAGCTCCCAACTCTAGTCCCCAGACAGTGCCTTCCACTTCTCCAGGCTGAGACTATGAGTCTGGGGGGGGGGAGGGGGTCCCTGAGCCCACATGGGGTGACTGACCATGGATCTAGGTTGGTAGGTGGGAGTGGGAAGAAGGTGAGGGAACCAGAAACAGGAAGTGCAGAGGTGAGGCGAGGTGTGACCCAAACCTCAGCTCAGCAGGCAGTGGGTGGAGCCCCTGGGCAGGAGGCCTAGAAGTTCTCGTAATGGTGGGAGAAATGAGTCCGGTCCTGCCTGTTGATGAGCTGACAGGCTTTTTCCACATTCTTGGTCATGCCAGGGGGGCCACAGCTAAACACCCCGATCTTCCGGACCTGTTGTTGAAGGAAGAAGGGAAAGCTAGCTCTGTTCTGAGGGAGGGCTAGCTCAGGTCCATGGTGAAGCCATGAAGAGTCCTCGATGAGGGCTCATTCCACTTCCCGTGAAAGTTTGCCTACCACGCCTGGTGAGGACCAGCTTGGTGTTTTCAAATCTAACGTGGTTTCAGTAGGCCTCCTCTCTGCGGGCCCAGCCTCTACCCTTTCCAAAGCACTTGCTAGCTTCAAGTGCAAGCAAGAGCACTTTCTGATACGGGGCTGGGTTAACCAATGTTTGAGTTGAGGGATAGCTTCGTGTCTCGTTAAGGGCTCACCCAGTGTTTATGAGAGCAGCGGCGTGCTTGGTGCTGACGGTGAAGATTAGCTCAGTGACCCAGGATGAGGCCCGGGTCAGCATTAGGGCTAAGGGTAGCTCTGTGTTTATGGAGAGGACTAGCTCAGTCACTGAGCTCTTCCTTCTGAACAAGGCATCATGGCTGCAGAAGCGGCAAGTCCCTGTCGCCAGCCTCCCCACTCCCCTCCCCACTCTCCTTTCCCATTTCATTACCCCACCAACTTCCCAGGGGGCGATGGGTTCTCATTGGCAGTCACTAGCTTTCCTGATGGAGCAGGTTTGGGAGCTTTGCTCAGCCCCCCCCCCCCCCCCCCCCCCGGAGGATACACTGAAGAGGCCCCGGATTGGGGGGGGGGGGGAGAGACTGACCTGTGGGTGAACCTCCTGCAGGGAGTTGAAGAAGGGCTCAAAGGGGGGGCGACCAAAGTGGGTGACGGAGCGCAGGCCCGTGAACAGACTCCGGTTCAGCACCTTCTGGAAGTGCCGCTCACAGATGTACTGGCAGCAGAACGAACAGAGGGAGAAGGTCAGAGCCAGGCAGAACCTGGGCAGCTCCCAGCCCAGATGGTGACCCGCCCATCCTGCCTGGCCGGCCCCGGCGTACCAGCATGGTGGTCCTGAGGTCGAACTTCTCCGCCAGCTGGGTGATGTAGATGTGCACGGACACCAGGTCCTGGTGGTCGTTCTCCTCCACCTCCCGGATGATGTCAGCCAGCCACTCGAACTGCCGCTGGGTCCGCGTCACCCAGATGAAGTAGATCTGGGGACAGGGCTGGAGCTGAGGACCCAGCTCAGCTCAGGCTGCCTATGCCCCAGGGATTCACACACCAATAGAATTCTCTGACCAGCTTGTGCCCCTCTCCAGATGTCCTGGGAAACGGAGTGTACGGGGCCACAGGGCCAGACGAGCAGGACATGGAGTGGCCCAGGGCATGGAGAGGTGCAAGTAAGTGACAGCCTGGGGCACCTGCTGGTCTGAGCCTCTCCTGCCACTCTCTCCAATGTTTCCGCCTCAGGCTCCAACCAACCAAAGCCCAGAAGGAGAGGGGCCACTAACGGGCTTGTCACAGGACATCTTCGGGGAAGACCAGCTGGCTGTCCGGAGGGATGGGAATGGACTCAGAGACCAGGGGGATGGAAACTTCCCTAGGGGAACCCATCTCCAGCTTCTGATAGGGGGAAAGTGGACTGTTTGGGTTGAGAAGCAGAGGCAGCCGAGACCGGTTTGGCTCAATGGATAGAGCGTCGGCTTGGAGACTGAAGAGACCTGGGTTCGATTCCGGTCAAGGGCATGTACCTTGGTTGTGGGCATATCCCCAGTGGGGGGTGTGCAAGAGGCAGCTGATCAATGACTCTCTCTTATCGATGTTTCTAACTCTCTATCTCTCTCACTTCCTCTCTGTACAAAATCAATAAAATATATTAATAAAAAAAAAAGAAGCAGAGCCAGCCTGGCCAGTGTGGCTCAGTGGTTGAGCATCGACTTATGAACCAGGAAGTGATGGTTCAATTCCCAGTTAGGGCACATGCCTGGGTTGCAGGCTCGATCCCCAGTGGGGGGTGTGCAGGAGGCAGCCAATCATGATTCTCTCTTATCATTGATGTTTCTATCTCTCCCTCTCTAAACTCAATAATATATATATATATATTATTGTGTGTATATATATATATATATACACACAATAATATATATATTATATATATATATATATTATGCACACACACACACACACACACATTTAAAAAGGAAGTAGAGCCGAAACCAATGGATAGAGCGTCGGCTTGGGGACTGAAGGGTCTCGGGTTCGATTCCGGTCAAGGCATGTACCTTGGTTGTGGGCACATCCCCAGTAGGGGGTGTGCAAGAGGCAGCTGATCGATGACTCTCTCTCATTGATGTTTCTAACTCTGTATCTCTCTCCCTTCCTCTCTGTACAAAATCAATAAAATATATTTTTTAAAAAAGGAAGCAGAGGTAGAGCTGGCTTGGACAGAGGAGCAGAGAACAGTCTGTCACCTCTGAATGCTGACAGCATATGGGCTGGGCCTCTGCCTGCTGCATTCCTGCCCTCCTGACTCACCTGCCAGGCCTAGAGAGACAAGCAGGGGCCTGCCACAAGGTGCAGGCTGGGGTGAAGGGGTCCTGAGGGCCTGGGCTGTGTTCCTGGAGCCAGCCGTGCCCATCATCCCTGCCTACCCCCTCCTGTTCTCTTACTCTTGAGATCAAAGCCAGTTTTACCTGTGGCCCTTCCCCCAGGCGTGCCCTTCCTTCTCCCAGCCCGACAATGCCTCCAGTGCCAGCTTCCTCCGCGGGAGGAGACCTTCTCCACCTTTCTCCAACCTGCCCGGAGGGATTCCCAGAAGCAAACCCTATGTGGGGTGCTTCCTAACGGAGGGAAGGATTGACAAACTAACTCTGTCCTTTAGGATCTGGGCGTATCCTGACCACCCCACTCAGGGCCAGGCCAGGTTGGCCCTGCCTAGACCACGGAGACCAAGAACAGAGGCAGGAGAGTTGGCACAGATAGACACAGGGACGGGGAGCAGGGGCAGGGGCTGGCCAGAGGAGGGGGCACTTACCTTCTTACAGAACACTTGGTAGCTGACTGACGACTTGAAGACCAGGTCTTTGAGGATGGAGGCAAAGGGGGTGACCCCAATGCCCCCTCCCACCAGCACTGACACCTCAAACTTATGCCACTCCTGATGGCCCTCTCCGAATGGTCCGTCGAGGTACAGCTGCAGGGAGCAGAGTGGGTGTGAGTTAAGCTCTCAGCTACCACCACAGTTCTGAAGCCAGAAGTGAGAGGCAAGAAAAAGTAGGTTTATGGAGTGAGGGGTGAAGAGGGACTGTGGCTTTATCTGGGACAGCCAGTCTCTGGACGGGGAGGGAGGACGCCCAGCACAACAGGCGTCTGGTGCTGCAGAGTCGAGGCCTGCTAAGGGGCTGTGGGAGCATGTGGCACGTGTGGCCTGGGTCTGGGCACCTTCGGGTAACTGGCAGAGCCGTCGGTCTGGGGTGAGTAGATCTCCCTGAGGCGAGTGGTCCAGGGCCCTGCCGCCCGGATGTGCAGGCTGAGCGTGTCCTCATGGGGCGCGGAAGTCAGTGTGAAGGGGTGGTACTCGGTGGTCCCCAGAGCCAGGCAGGCGATCCGCACCCACTGTCCCGACTTGTACTCAAAGCCCTGGGGCCGCTGGAACTGCAGGTGGGTCACTCCTGAGGAGGAGAGGCGGGCAGGAGGCTGCTGTCCTGAACCCAGCAGCTGTGTGGTCTCCAGAGAGTCCCCCACTGCAGCCTCAGCTCTGCTTCTGGAATATGCCAAGGGGACCTCCCCCCCTCAGAAGCCATTACTCCCCTCAGGCCAGGTCTGCCCTGAGGAGGGGCTGGTGGTCAGCCAGACCTGGGCTTCTCTCTGTTGTGAAAGAGACTCAGGTAAAGAGCTTCTTTTACCAGCTCCCTCATCCCTTCCACCCCAAGGCCCCTGCCAACTCCACTGGGCCAGGCTAGGACACTGCAAGGTCCAGGCTCTGCTCTGCTTCCTGGTACCACCCCCTGACAGCCTCTCGGCTGGTACCTGAAGGCAGCAGCTCGGCCTTCACCACGCTGATCTCCACCTTCTTCCGGCTCAGGCTCACCAGCTTGTCCCCCCCGTAGATGAGTGCAGGGATCAGGAAGAAGATGTGGAAACGGGGCAGCTGGATCAGAGCGAAGCTGCCATGGATGATGAGCTGAACAGAGCGAAGAACACCACTCAGACCCGGCCACACCCACAACGGGATCTGAGGCTGGCTCTGGGCTTAGACCCCTGTATCTTTCCTCCTGGCATGCCCACGCCTCACCTCATATTGTGCCCTGCTCCTTCCAGGTTCCCAAACCCAACCATTCCCAAAGCATCCTTGATGAATAAGACTGTTTGCATCTCTCCGACACCATGCTAGACCAAGCCATGCCAGCTCTCCCCTGCACCCATGCTGTAGCCTCCTAACTGGTTTTCCACTGGGTTGCCCCATGTGATCGATTCTCTTCAAGGCAGCCAGTGTGACTTTATAAAGTTCATTTTATCATGTCACCCCAGCTTTAAAAGCCTTAGCGGCCTTCCCATTGCCTGGTGATACTCTGACCCCTGCCTGCCAAACATGGCAAGTCCTTTCTGCTCCAAGACCTTTGCACCTGCTGTTCCCTCTGCCAGGAATGCTCTCCCCTGGCTCTTCCTAGATGATCTCTGTCTCATGTGTCAGGTCTCAGCAGACACACCATCTCCCTGAGCTCCCTCCCCTTCGGGCCCACCCCCGTCCTCTCTATCACAGCTCCCTGCTACTCCCTTCAAAGCCCTTGCCGTCCACAATAATTGTGTTTCTCCATTCATTGACCTATTCACTGTTGCGTTCCCCAGTGGACTGCTGGAGCAGGCACTGCATCCATGTTCTTTGCCAATATACTCTCAGCTCCTAACGGTTTCCGCCTGGCACATGGTAGGCACTCAATTACTGTTGAGTCAATGAAAGAAGTTCCCCCAGTTTACCTTCTCCCTTTGGAGTCTAAGAACACATAACCAGTCTCCGTTTTCCATGAGATAATGGACAGGCATTGTCCAGCTCTAGTCCTTTCCCCAATGGTCAGATGCTCCTTGCCCCATTCCTCCCACTTGCTTGCTCCTAAGTCTGCTCAGTCTGGCTTCCCTCTCTGGCTCTTCTCAGGATCTTCTCACTGAGGGCTCACGAATGGCCGATCCCCAAGGTGTCCTTTCAGACCACCTTTGCTCCCCGCCTTGGCGCCTGTGGCACAGTGCCCCACTCCCCTGCCACCTTGACACTCCTGCTACAATACAATGCTCCCCTGGGTCTCCCTCCTCTCGGGCCACTCACTTTCCACTGACTGTTTCTTCTCCACCCCAACCCTTGTGTTGCCCAAGCCTGATTTCCTCACCCTCCGCTTGTCTCTATGCTCTCCCACGGAGCATGGCTCTCAGCTGAACCACAGCCTCTCAGCTTCAGCGCAATCCACACAGGTCCACCATGTCCTGCCACCACCTAACAACGCCGTGGCCAGGCAGCACTGTCTCCTCTGCGCCCTGAATATTCTGTCATCATTCACGCCTCCACACCTGTGCGCATGCCCTCCCTTCCACCTGGAATGCTTCTCAGCTTCCCCTCTGCCCTGTCAAACCCTAGCTTATCTCTCCATAAGGCTTGGCCCACGTCCCATCTTCTCCCCGAAGTCTTCCCTAACCAGTTTGGCCCAAGTGAAACTGCCTTCAATGAGCTCCCGTAACTTACTCTTCGGAACACTCAGCTCAGCAATTAATCCTGTATTGTCTGCTCACGTCCATCATTTCACATGCATGGCATTTACCTCTGCCGCAAATCCTGAGGACAGAGCATCGAGTCTCCCCTTCCCTGCAGGGCTTAGCACAAAGCTAGGACATAACAGACTCTCAGCACAACTGTTAAACCGGACTCTGGTTCCTCACTCAGCTCTCCCAGCCCCCGGCTGAGGGTCCCTGACCTCATGAGCCTTTCCCGGCAGGATTTACTTGAGCCTTTGAGCTCTGCTCTGAGCTAGCTCCCGTTCCCCCAGTTCCTCTTTCATTGTGGGGCCCACGCCCACCCCCAAGGCTGTCTGAGCATCCAGCCAGGCTGAGAACAATGCCAGGGTGACCTCATGCTCTACACCCAGTTTGGTGTTGGCTCTGCTTTTTAACCACAATCCGCTGTTTGGCTGGGGAGCTGGCGCAGCAGCCACCAGCTCAGCTTTGGCTGTGCTAGCCCGGCCTCTCCAGCCTTCTCAGGGTCTCCCCCACCCTGACTCCTTCTCTTTCTGCCAGAGGTCAAGGGACCACACCTGTGACAAATGGGAAGGAAGCGGGTGTTTTGGCCCTGACCTGCCCCCGGCTGCCAGGGTAGGGCTGCCCAGCGGGGGGGCCTTTCTGAGCTGCTGACTTCCCTGCTGGCAGGAAGGGTGGTTCTGAGCTCCAATGAGTCTCCCAAACCAGACATTAATCAGAAAGGGGTCTTGGTCCCAGGGACCCAGCTTCCCATTAGTTCAAAGAAGCACCTCTTTCACCAGGGATAAGAACATCACCTCCACCCCTACCAGAAATGGCTCCACCCATTACGGAGGAGGTGGAGAGGAAGGGATAAATTAGCCTGAGAGAGATTTCTTTGGAAATAAACATCATCAATTCTAGGAAACAGCCTAAGCCGAGGTTGGGTAGTCATCTTCAGAACTGTGAAGTACCAAGCCTTGGGCAAGAGAGAAGCAGATCCTCCTACCTATCAGTGAGGACAGAACAGCACCTGGGGGGAGACCCCGTGTGCAGTTCTGCCTGGAGCCAATGACAGTCAGGGAAGCCATATAGACTCTGCATTTCTCTTTTTTTCTTTCTTTCTTTCTTTCTTTCTTTCTTTCTTTCTTTCTTTCTTTCTTTCTTTCTTTTTTTCTTTCTTTCTTTCTAAAATATATCTTATTGATTTTTTACAGAGAGAAAGGGAGAGGGATAGAAAGCTAGAAACATCGATGAGAGAGAAACACCAACCAGCTGCCTCTTGCACACCTCCCACAGGGGATGTGCCCGCAACCAATGTACATGCCCTTGACCGGAATGGAACCTGAGACCCCTCAGGCCGCAGACCGAAGCTCCATCCACTGAGACAAAACTGGTTTCGTCAAGACTCTGCATTTCTTAAATGCTCCCAACCAGGCTGTCATTGGTGGGGTCACAAGACCCTTGGGACTTAGTTTAGCTCCTCAACAAGCAGGCCCTCACGGTGCCCTTTTGGGAACTGCCTGTGTCCACGAGGAAGGCAGGCCAAACAGAACCATGACACAGGGGCACAGATCAAGGTCAGCTCCGAAGCAGCTGACAAACCCAGGGAAGGGGGAAGGGAGCAGGGCAGGAGGAAGGAGGGGATGTGAAGGCAGGCAGGCAGGAGCCCAGATTAAGGAGAAGGAAAGGGGAAGGTGGCCTTATAAATCCAGCTTGTCAACAGTCCAAGTGAAGGCTTTTGGAGCAAAGTCATTAATGTGATAGGTTGCACTTGGTTGCGTGGGGTGGCTAACATCTTAAAAAATGGGATTAGAACAAAAGCGGCAAAACCCAGTTAAGAGAAGTTTCTCTAAAAAAGGGCAATAGGCCCTTGAGTGCAGGCAGCCCACCCCGGAGCCCTAACCAGCCACTCAAAGTGGAGAAAGGCTGGGCAAAGTGATGTGGGGTCTCGGCTGGGAATGCCGATCCGTCTGCTAGAGCTGCTACTGCCAAACCCAGGCCGGCAAGTCCATCTCCGAGGGCTGCCTATCAGGGTCAGTCTACTCGAAAGTCCCCTCCTATCATCTCCATCCTTTAAGTGACAAATGAAGAGGACACTTGAAATAACGAAGGGGATGGAGAGCCGCTGTCTCAGCCCTCGCTGCCTCCCTGGGAACTTCTTGCCCAGCCCCCATCAGAGCCAAAGGCCCTCACCAGGATGTAGAGCAGGATGTAGAGGTGGTGGGTCAGCCAGAAGCCCCGGAAGCTGCGGCGCCGGAAGTGGTGGGAGGCGAAGACGTACATGATGGCCAGGACCAGGAGCATAATAACCCCCGTGAGGCCTGCAAAATGAACAAGGGCTCTGAAGGGCAAAGGAGTGAGGCTGCTCCAGGCTTGCCAGGGGCCTGGATCCCTCTTCCACCCCACTGTCCTAGACGGGGTGGGGAAAGCCCAGCATCTTCTCCCGTTCCTCTCCCTTCACACCACTGGCACAGGTACCTCTCGCTTCTTACAGATCCTACTCATCCTTCATAGACTTTGTCATGATGTTTTTAAAGTACCTGTGTTTTATGTCCATCACTTTCCTGACTCTCAGGTTCACAAGAACAGGGTCAGGCGAGGCTAGTTCACCACTGAACCTCGTGTAGGGCCTGCACACCGTGGGCCTTATACAAATGGATGTTGACTAAATGAATGCATGGGGCTGGGACTCTGGACATGGCAGGCCCTGCCTTATGCAGTCCAGGCTTGTTCCCCGCCCCTGCAGCACTCCCCCCAGCTGCCACTGCACACAGCATGAGCACTGTAAGTGCTACCCCGGAGGCCCGCCTGGGCTCAGCCCTGAGTTGGTGAGAGGTCCCTCTTCACAGGGAACCCCAGGCCTGGGCTACCCAGGAGCCAGAATGGGAATGCAGGGGTCAGAGGATGGCCCTTTGAGTGATTGAGGAGGAGAGAGGCAGAAATCAGGAAGATTAGAGCCTTGAAGAATGGCAAAGCAGAGGTTAAGAAGAGATCTAACCAAAGCCTGTCAAGTACAGAAGGGAGAGGAGAGCATAAACACAGCCTTTTCCTGGAAATCCCCGTGTGCAGGAATTAGCAGGCACTCTCTGAAGTTTAGAGCAGATCATTTTAGGATTAAAAAAATAGCAAAGTACAAAACTGTGCTTTGCTTCATAGAAGAGTGAGTGTAGAAGACGTGTTACCCCAAGGAGGGAGCAGATTGAAAATGTAAGTTCAAGAAGTGCTTGAATAGATTCACAGCTAATAGCCCTAAAATGGGTGATTAGGGGAGTTAGGAATATGGCTCTAAACAGTCCTTATCAAGACAGACTAAAAGGGGTGTGTGTGTGTGTGGGGGGGCGTTCTGCCTGACTTGACAAAGAGCCTGGTCCCTCCCCCATGCAACTGGGGCATGGATTTCTCGGAAGCACTGTCAGGGCAGGTGTGTGCAGTAGGGGAGAGGCGGGGCACCCCTCCCATCACACAGAGGGAGAAACTAGTTCAGAGCTGGGATGGGAGCCCAGTCAAGCTCCTGCCCAGGAGCGTCCTGAGGGCCGGAGGGCAGAGCGTGACTGACCGTGAGAGCCCAGTCAGTGCCCCTGGGCTGCTCTGTTGGCAGAGAGAACCTGGCAGGAGGGACCGGGCCCAGGAAAGTCATGGAGCAGAAAGGGCTCTCACCTGGCACGGTCTGGAAGAACCACCAGTAATATTTCTGGGGGAACTCGGACCTGTGGGGAAGGGGACGCAAGGGAGGACCCTGAGAGGAGATGTCTGGGACTTCCAGAAAGGACCCTCCCGATGAGGCACCCCAACCCAGCCACAGTCCCCCTTTCTGCTGACTCAGGGCGGGGGCGGGGGCGGGGGCTCAGGCTGGTCATTGTCTGTCCTGTGACCTGGAAGGTGACACTCTCCTCAGAGCAGAGATCATTTGGTTCTTTCCACTCACAAAGAATACACCCTTTCCCCTCCCTACTCACCCATCATCGTGGAAGAGGCCAGGGAAGAGGCAGGAGAGGATGCTGAGCGGGCTGATGGAGAACAGGTACACGTTCACCACGTGGCCTGCGCTGTGTAACACTGAGGGAGACCAGGTGGATGGGTGAGCCTGGGGCAGCCGGGTGGGGGTGCTCAACCCACTCAGCCCAAGGCCAACTCCCGCCAGCCAGAGGTGGGGTTAGGGTTCGGGTTGGGGCCTGAACAAGGACCCTAGCGCAGTGGTCGGCAAACTCATTAATCAACACAGCCAAATATCAACAGTACAATGATGGAAGTTTCTTTTGAGAGCCAAAAACCTACTTCTGCACATGGGCCACGAAGTTTCAATTGCACCCACATGTGGTATTTTGTGGAAGAGCCACACTCAAGGGGCCAAAGGGCCACATGTGGCTCACAAGCTGCAGTTTGCTGACCACTGCCCTAGGGGGCTGGATTTCTGATCTCCATGAAACTTCCTATTCCTCCCCATTCCCATATTCACCCCACCCATGAAGACAGCCATGAGTCTAAATTATATATTAGAAATCCACGCCTTTGGTTCCTCTCACAGAACTATCTTTTAAAACATAAAGGTTGCAAGATGGCACATTTTGTATACTCATTCTGGGGTGACAGTAACCTGTCAGGTGGAGGTGGTGAGGTGGCCCTGAAGGTGTGGGAAGAGGCAGTGGGGTGGGGGCGGGGGGTGCAGTGAGGGGCCCCTGGGCTTATTGCAACCACGTATGAGAAGGACATCCCAGACTCTCACAAGCGCAGCGAGCACTCTCTCTGGGAGAGGGACCAGCGGGCTCTCAGAGGAGGGGAAGCCAGTGGGGAGTGAGGGGAGCGGAAGGACAAGGAGAGGATGCCCGGGGCCCCAGCCCTGCCTGTGAGCACGATGGCCGTGGAGGCGATGAGGCGGTGGAAGTCCACGGCGGCGTCAAAGGGCACGTAGCGGTTGAGGAAGGTCTCCCGCAGGAAGGTGATGAGGTTGCGGCACATGGTGAGCAGGATGTAGGAGAACATGAAGGAGATGCTGGCGGCGGTGCCCCGCGACAGGATGATGCCCACAAAGGTGGTCTGGGCGATGCCCGAGGGTGGCGAGGCAAAGGTGTAGTCTGCGGAGGGGCGGGGGGCGGGGTAGGTAAGGGGGGCAGTGCAGGGGAGGGAGGTCACCCGCAGGCCCTGGCCAGCCCCGCCCACAGTCGTCTCTCCATGTCCCCATTCAAGCTGCGCAAACACCAACCAGAGGGTGACGGCCCCAGGGTGTCTGCCATTCACACAGTAGGCCCGCTCCATCCTCCCGCAGCCGTCAATCAAGCAGGCCCCGCCCCGGGCCCCGGCCCCGCCCCGGGCCCCGGCCCCGGCCGGCCCCGCGCACAGTAGGCCGCTCCGTCCTCCCGCAGCCGTCAATCAAGCAGGCCCCGCCCCGGGCCCCGGCCCCGCCCGGCCGCGCGCACAGTAGGCCCGCTCCGTCCTCCCCGCAGCCGTCAATCAAGCAGGCCCCGCCCCGGGCCCCGGCCCCGCCCCCGCCCCGGGCACCGGCCCCGCCCCGGGCCCGGCCCCGCCCGGCCGCGCGCACAGTAGGCCCGCTCCAGGAAGAGGCCCGCGGCCACCGCGTAGAAGACGGCCACGCAGCCGATGTGGCGCCGGTAGTTCTCGATGAAGCGCTTGAACTGCTGCACGGTCTGGTGGCGCCGGCTGCGCTGGAACTTCTGCCGGTGGGCCTCGGTGAACAGCAGCGGCTGAAACAGCGTCACCCTGGGCGACAGCAAGCCTCGGCGCTCAGCGACGGACTCTGCGCTGTGCAGCCCCGCTCCTCTCCCCCTCCCAGGCTGAGCTCGGGAGAAAGGGGCCCCGGGTGACTCAGGCCAAGCATGGCGCAGCGTCCAAAGGCTAATGTCACACTGTCCATGTGGGGGCCCCTGGGAAGTAGTCACTGGGTCCGTTCATCCCAGGGGGACGCACTTCATCAACCCCAGTTCTCACTCACAGATAGCTCTCTCCCCTTCCAATCCGAGCTCCCAACGCCCTCCTCTCTATTCTCACTCTACTCTGGAGCTCAAAGGGCACCTCCTCCAGGGAGCCTGCCCTGACCTCCCAGACGGAGATGAGCATTTCCTTGAGCTCTGAAGCCCCTTGCTCTTACCAGCGTTATCCCATTCACCAGTGGGACATGGCAATTCTCAGTGTACCAGGCTACCTCATATGAGGCTGTGCCTGGCACCGAGTCATCAATGTATGCATGCTGGAAGGATGGCTGAACTGCCTGGGCTTAGGGGAAGAAGCAGGCGTACTTCTTGCCAAACCTCCGTCGAAGCTCCTGGGGAGGATCGGTGTCCATGGGGCACGGCAGTCTCTGTGGTGTCCGCTCCGTCTCCACATCACTGCGGGAACTGCGAGCGCTCACTCTGGGAGAGGGGCTAGGACAGGGATGCAGGAGACAGGATCTTGGTTACCTAAGCCACGCGGTGCTCCGTGGCCCCTGGGCTGCCTCCATACCCACTCTCTTGAGGAAGGGTCAGAGCTCTCAGCCAGAGGACAGCAGGATCCCCAAAGACCTAGCTAGAGAATGAGTCGCCTCCCAGGGGTTCTAGACAAGGCTGTCACCTAGAGCTGTGCCCTTAACAAGGGTCTCCGACCCAGGCCAAAGGTGAATGCAGGGCTGTGTCTGCAGAATAAGAAGCATCACTTTCTGATTTACATGAAGGCTTGACGTAGGCTGGGGGAGGGGAGAAGCGGGGCCGCTGTGATACCAGTCATTTGGCGGGGAGAAAAAAGGCAGCTCCCTGGCCCAGCGGAGGGCTCACCAGAGCTGATCCTGGCTGATGTAGGAGGCTCTCCGGCAGAGATCCTTGATGACTTCAGGCACCTCCACTCCTGCAAAATGCAGAGCTGGGCTAGGGAGCAGCTCAGGGCCCAGAGCCTCAGGAGGACCTGGCTCAGATGTCCAGACACTATAGAGGGTCCCTGGCCATTACCCTGCCTCTGGGTGCCCCAGCCTCAGCCTGTGTCCCCAGTGGGAGCTAGCCCTAGCCACCCTTGGTCAGGGAGAAGGCCTGAGACAAAGTTAGCCAGGCAGGCTCCTCTGAGTGTGTGCTCACCTTCAGTCTCCCTCCTGGGATGGAATCAGGCTTATGGGGTGGAGTTAGGAACGTATGCAACCCATCTGCTAAAACCATTCTGTCACAAACCCCGCTAATGACCCTCCAGCTTCAAATCTCCTTGAAGTTAAAGGTGGAATGTAGGTGGTGCATATATGGAAGATTCCACTTTCCTGTGTTGGAAAATGTTCATGAGAAAATGTTGGGGGTGAGGATGGGGGATGGAAGGGTGGGGACCCTTCCAGGGGCTGCCCACTGTTCCCTGTCTGTGCTCAGCTCTTAGGGACAAGGCGGGACTGAGCAGCCAATCCAGGTTCTCACAGGAGAATCTGCAGGTCACTTCCAAGTGCTAAACCAATCCCGAAGATTACCCTGGTCTACAGGCCAGAGGCCAAACGTGACTAAGCGGAATTTAATGAAACCAGAGTGTTGAAAACAAAGAAATCTATCCCCCCTCAAATGCTTTAGCAAATAAACAGATGTGGCAAAAATGGTAACAAATGACAAATCTAGGCGAGGGAGAAAGAGATGCTCTTTTAAACTCTAAGTTTAAATGTTTCAAAGTAAAATTTGGAGGAAGCAATAAAGTACAACAATTAAAAGTCAAATGGGCCCAAAAAGTAGCTCTGTTGATTCGAGTGTCGTCCCAATACACCAAGATTGCAGGTTTGATCCCAGGGCACATGCAAGAAGCAACCAATGAATGTAGAAATAAGTTGAGCAACAAATCTCTCTCCAACAAAATTTTCCCCCATTAAAATGCCAAACAAAATAATACTCATTGCTAACCTTCTACTTAATCCTCCTTTCCCAAGCCTGGTCCTTCCTCCACCCCAAGGGCTGTACATCCGGGACTCTGGCCTGGGTTCACTTCAGGCACCCACCCCTGCTCTGCCCTCAGGCCTGGGTGCCTGGGAAAGGTGAAAAGCTGCAGAATTAGACTTGCTGGGTCTGCACTCTACCACCTCTCCTTCCGCCCTGGGCTGGGGACGCCCTGTCCAGAAGCCCAGCTGTGCCTTGTCTAACGTGCCCCTCTCACTTGGACTGCTCAGCTCCCCCAGGCTCTCCTAATCCTGGGAGGGGCTGGATTTGGTTTCAACATGCCCCAGTGAGAATCCCAGGCTGTGAAGACACAGTAACAGCTCAGAGCAGGCCACAGGCCATCCCTCTGCCTGCTCTCTGCCCACTCCTCACCCTGATTCTAGCCCCACCCACTGAGTCAGACAGAGGAGGGGCAGGAAGTAGGGGGAGGGAGGTAGACAACAGAAGTGGGTGTCCATGCACTTAGCAAACATTTACCAACCACTCCTCCAGGGAATAAAGTGGCAAACAAAACTAGAACACCCACCACTACCAGACACCCCAGCTGAGGTGGGTAAGGCCAGGGTAGGGCTGTAATGAGGAGACACTATTTTCCCTCTGCACTGGCACCAGGGTTAGGGCTCTCAGACAAAAAAGAGCAATTCCAGCTGCCATTCCCCACGCCATCCTGACCCTGCACACTCCACCCAGCAAGGCTGCATTGTGACTTTTGTGGGTCTTGGCACCGTTGTCTTCCTGGGCCTCTTCCTCCATTAAAAAATAAATTTAGCCAACACCGGTTTGGCTCAGTGGATAGAGCGTCGACCTACAGACCGAAAGGTCCCAGGTTCGATTCTAGTCAAGGGCATGTACCTTGGTGATGGGCACATCCCCAGTAGGGGGTGTGCAGGAGGCAGCTCATCTATGTTTCTAACTCTCTATCCCTCTTTCTTCCTCTCTGTAAAAACTCAATAAAATATATTTAAATACATACACACACACACACACACACACACACACACATATATATATATTTATATTTATATATAAATATATATATATATATAATATATATATATATTTATATTTATATTTAAATATATATATATAATATATATATATATATTTAAATACATACACACACACACACACACACACATATATATTCAGGCTGGATGTGTCATTACATATTTATTATTATTATTATTATTATTATACTCATTCTCTTTTCTGATTTTTTTTTTCTTGTCTTCTGCTTTTCAAAGAAATAAAAAATTTCCATGGATTCCCAAAACACGCGGGCCTTGTGTGCCGTGCCTGCTGTGCCGAATGGATGTCCGCCCTGCCTCCGGGCTCCCTCACCTTTGACGCAGAGCTGTGTGAAGCGGAGCTCACTGTCGTGGTCCCGCAGCATGAAGTGGAAGTCCTCCCATGTCAGCTCCTCCTTGTCCTGGAAGCCCGACTCCCGGAACATGGACTCCACCACCTCCGCCAGCTGGGCCTTGGACAGGCAGTTGTTGGAGATCTCGATGAAGGACCTGGGGGTTGGGGGAGGGGCGCTGTCAGGCCCTGACAAGGGGCCTGGGGCCTAGACACAACGACCCACTAGCCATCCCACCAGGCAGGCTTCAGAGCCCACACGGGAAGACCCCAATGGGCCAATCCCAAGCCCCCTCTTAGCTCTAACGGTCTCTGGCTCTGTGGGTGAAGAGGTGGGGGGCCCTGCTCTTTACCCTCCTGCTTCTTCCTTCATGCCCCACCCTTTCCCCTGAAGTCCCTGCTCTGGCCCACTCTCCTCACTGTCCCCTTGGACCAACCTCAGCATCCTGATGAACTCGCCCTTGGAAATGAGACCATTCTCATCAAAGTCGTACATGCGGAACATAAGGCGGGACTTCTCCTCAGGGGATCCTGCGAGAAGGAGGAACCTATGAGAGGCCCAGACCTCCTGCCTAAACCCAGGCTGGCCAGGAAGGGCCTTACACGACTGTGACCCACTGCTGGCCACAGCGAGGGGTTGCTCTGCTTCCTGACTCTATTGGGGCGCTCCCAGGTGTCTCTAGCCAGGCTAGAGACCTGGCTTCCCCATCTCCAGAAGGTCAGCTACCCCTCAGCCTCAGTCTCCAGTCCCTTCCATCTTCTCCTACCTGGACAGTCACTCCCTCCTCCACTACCTTTCATGAAGACCACCAGGATGTCCAGGAACTCCCGGAAGGACAGGTAGCCGTTGCCATCTTTGTCAGCCAGAGAGAACATGGACTCCACAAACATGTCCTGGGGCTTGAGGCCCAGGGACTCGGCAAACTCGACCCTGCTGAGCTCACATGTCAGGGCCTCCTGCACCTTCTGAGATGAGTCCAGGGGCAGGGTCCCTGCGTCTGCCTGGTCGATGTCCAGCACCTGCACTTGAGCAGCCGCAGAGGGAGGGAGAGAAGGAGACAGGAATTCCCTGACTTGAAGGCCAGTTGAGCCACCTCTTAAGAAATCTGCCCAGCACCCCCTCCCCTAAGCACTACCCCAAGAGCCCTATGGGTGGTCCCTGTGGCCATTTAGTCTATAGAACCTTGGCCCTGTGCATTAGCTGATTGGGCCAGTGATGCCCACTTGAGCCACTGGAATTGGGACTGAGAGGTCCTAGGTCTGTCTTGCCGGAGCACAAGAAAACTCAAAACTCACAAATAAACTCAGAAGTTGCGGACCGCCCTGTTCCTCCAGGTGCTCAGAGACACAGCGACACAGCCAAGCAGCAGCATTGGCTGTGTCTCTGAGCACCTGGAGGAACAGGGCGGTCCGCAACTTCTGAGGAGGAGGAGGAGGAGGAGGAGGAGGAGGAGGAGGCAGCCTCGAGAGGAGTGGCCTTGCTTGCTGATAACTTTCCCTTCCCCGGTCCTTTCCAGGCCAGGCCACAGTCCTCTCTTTGGAATTCCTGAGACACTGCTCTCTCCCGAGTCATCTGACCCTTCATCAATGCTGGCTTGAGCAGGTTGCTCTTATGTCCAGAGTTTTGACTGAGAGAAAAGCTCAGCTGCATTGAGAAAAAGCTGGGCTTGGGAAGGGGAACTTCTCCTCATGAGCCACCTTTATCCCAGCCAAGGGGCTGCCCCAGCATAAGGAGAACAGACGGTGAAGGAAGCACGCAGGCTGCGAACCACAACACCTGCTGTTCCTGTTCCTGCCTGTCAGCTAGAAGCCCCTACTTCAAGCCTGGCTATGATGTCATGAGGTAAACCTTGTTGCTTGAAACAAGGTGCTTTAGCGGAAAGAGCCTGGGGCTAGAGGCCAGAGACCCAGGTTCATGTCCCAACTGTGTCACTGTCTCACTGTGTGGCCTCGGGCAAGTCTGTTCAGTTGTCTGGCATTCATTTCCTCACCTTCCCTACCTATCTCACAGGGTTATTATGGGAACCAACAAGAGAGGCTGTATGAAAAAGATCTCATTTCAAAACTGAAAGCACTGCAAGGGTTGGCAGCTACCCTAGGAAACAGTAGCACACCCTCACCTCCCAACACAGGGAGTTCTCTTTCACAGCCCTGCCAGGTCCTGAACTGAGCAGAGATGCCTGCCAGGGCCCTGGCAATGAGTCAGCCCAGCAGAAGGACCCTCCATTCTAGTACACACTCAAGCTCAACGTGTTTGAAGAGTAAGTGGTGTAGCCAGGTGCACACAACAAAGGACCATTAAATGGTTCCCTCGTGGATCCTTTCTGCAGGTAGCCAAGCCTGCTCCTTCTCCTCAAACACTGATTTTTGCCCTTTTTCTGGGTATCTTCCTCCTCCTCCCCCTCCTCCTGCTGCTCCTCCTCCTCTTCTTCCTTCTCCTCCTCCTCTTTCTCCTCTTTCTTTCTTTCTTTCTTTTTTTTTTTTTTTTGTTGTTGTTAGTCCTCACCTGAGGATATTTTTCCATTGATTTTTAGAGAGAATGGAAAGGAGAGGGTAAAACATTGATATGAGCCCCTTTCTTCTGAACTCTTTCAACTTTGACTCCTTGCTAAGTCTCTTCTCCACCATGACTTTACACCTGCCTGAAGCTTCATCTACCTTTTCTGAACTCCTAGACCACTTTTTTCCTGGGTCACTTTTATAGCTGTCATTCTTTGCCAATTATCTTCCAATCTGAGCGCATTCCATCTTCCCATGGGATGATAAACTCCTTCAGCGGGTGCCCATGCTGTACTACCTTGTATCTCCCAAGCTTCTTGCCTCCGCTGTTCCGCTCAGGCTGCCTTTATTTCCGTGCCAGACAGGGGTTCAAGTCCTTGCATTTCTCTTCCTATCTTATTTCCCCACCACCTCTCAATGGCTCTCAGAGGTCTACGAGGTAGGCACTAATACCCTCTTGAGCCCTCTGGCAGCTACACGCCTCCAAGGAGGAGTGGCTAAAGGCTCTCGCCCTAGATTTCCGCAGCCTTTAAGTGGGGGCAGAGAACCTGGGCAGCCCTGAGGAGAGAGATCGCCACATGCAGACAAGCCCCTTCCTAGGAAGCCGCCTCGCTGAAGTCTCTCAGGTGGTGGGATTGGAAAGGGGGCTGGAGCATCTCCTTACAGTAAGGACAGGTGACCTGGCCAAAATCACAGTAGAGTTGATTCTTGGCTGTGATCTCTGACTTGCCCTGGAGTCACCCCAGGCCTTATACAGGTCAGGGCACCACCACAGACAGACGCGCAAGAACAGATCTGATCTCCCATACACACCTGGGAGAAAAGGTGCCTGAAAAAGGTCTCCAGGAGGTGGCTCCGCTGCTCCCGGGTCACGGCCGCCCTCATCAGCTCCTGCTCCCGCATCTCCCACTCCTGGAAGCTCAGCCCACTCTCCTTCAGGGCCGCCCGGAGGTTCTCCACCAGCGCCTGCCGCTCTTCCTCCAGGTTAAACTGCAGCACCTATGGAGGCAGCAGGAGGGAGAGCCACCGTTTGTTAAGGCCTCTTGGGGCTAGGAGCTTTCTGTGACTCTTGTAGGGGCCCCTGGAAAGAGAGCCCTTGCAAAAGACACACTGTCATTTCCTGGGCTCAGGGGTTACGTGGTTTTCTTCTATGTGCAGAGTCACATACACGGATAAAGCATTCTTCCCTCCCTGCTCCGTACTGGAGAGGGGGAAGGCAGGGAGGCCAGAGGATTGAAGGGACCATGAGCCAGACACCCAGAGCTGAAGATCAGCCTCTGATTGACTTCCCTCCAATATCATTCCAGCCTGAAATCAGGGGACGAGAAAGAGCACCCAAATTCTTCCAAGGAATCCCCGCTAGGACCTGCCTCAGTGTCCTTAGAAAGGAGGGGCAGACTGTGAAAGAGGAATAGGGGACTGTGGAGGTCATATCCAGCAGGTCCAGAGCGGAACAGATGTGCTCAAGTTCATCTCTCTATCAGGTACCACAGCCAGTAACCAGAAGCCAGAAACCCTGTCTGGCCCAGGGCTCTTTCCCCTCCTGCTGGCTGGCGTGTCTGTGGACAAGGAGCGAGGGGCCAGCTGGGTCGCACCAGGTCATACTCCTTGGGGATCTTGAGCAGCAGGGTGCGGCGTCCCCGGTTGTTGGAAAGGATGAGGTTGACCTTCTGCGGGGGCCGCAGCTGAATGGTGCGCAGCACAGAGAGCCTGCAGTCCAGGACGCGGACCTGCCCGGGTTGCAGGTGCACAAGCACAGGCCGGCAGGGGTCCTTGCGGCCCTGCCATTCCAACGCTGGGGAGAGACGGGGCTGGGTCAGCCGTGGCTCTAGGCCTGCCCTGCACCAGGCACACCCAAAGGAAGAAGGCCCAGCTCAGAGCTGGAGTTAGATCAAGGCCTCCACAGCCGCTTGCCTCTTTTTGGGTTCTGAGGGACACCCCCCTCCCCAACAGTCCTGCTGTGCATCTAGCCCATGAGCAGAATAACTACCATTTCCTGAGTTATTTATTACCATGTGCCCAACACGGTATCAAGTACTTTACATGAACGAATTCATTTAGTCTTCCTAAATCGATAAGGTAAGTGCTATTCTTCTTCTTCATATTCTATAGATAATGAAAAGTAAGTTTAGAAAACTGGTAGGATCAAGATTCCAATCCTCAGTCAGTCTGACTCTAGACCTTCATTAATTAACTTCTCTGTTGCCTGAAATTCCAGTGTGAGATGCACCAAGCAGCAGTTCTTGGGAATCTGGAGTCACAGAAACCCTGTGAAATGTAGTCCAGGTTCTGTGACTCTTCCCCATGGGCCTATCTCATTCCCTATGGGGCCTTTAGGAGGAGCTACAGAGGTGGGAGGACTCCAGGACCAACTTCCACCCAGTGCCCTGGGGCCCTTCCCCCTGCCCGGCGGCCAGGAAGCCTTTCCTTGGGCTGCAGAGGGGCAGGTCGGGGCTGTCGCCCTGAGCCATGTCCTCCTCCTCACCACCATGGCCAGCCCCAGGCTCACCTTCCACGCCCTCCACGAACTTCTCAGACTTGATGCTTTTGCAGTCCTGGCCCTGGAGCTTCTTGAAATTTCTCCTCCGGAGCCGGGCAACAATCCAGGCAACAAGCAGGCTCACTGGCAGGGCAGAGGCGGTAGGCTGCTCAGAGGAAGGTCTGGGGAGATCAGCGGCTCCTTTGCCAGACTCCTTTCCTTGCCAAGACCCCTGCTTTCCCCAAGACCTAGATCTGTCCATTCTCAAACGGTAAAGTTGCCTTCAGAGAGGCGGGGTGCTGCTTTGCATCCTTTGGGGAGTTTGGGTAGCATCTAAGATGCCTGTGCAGGCTCCTCCCCTGCCCCCAGCACTCGGGTCCTCTCCTAGCTGGAGCTGCACTCACTCTGCCAGGCTGCTGGTCCACCCGCACACAAGTCCAAAGCCTCTGCGCCAGCAACTATGTCCCAGCTCTGGTTCTCCAGCAGGGCTTTGCCTCTGCCAGGCCCAGGCTCCTGCAAATAGCTGTGGATTGTGGAATCCTGGGATGCCTGACCAATCTGGGCCCTGAGAACAGGGCGGCAATTCTCCCTGGTGCCAACTCTTATCTGCGGGTCAGACACTTCTTGTGTCTCCTCCTGCCTCTGATGTTCTTGTCATCTGCCCAGGGGAACATGGCTTGTTGCCACAGATGGCACCAACCCTCCTCCCAGCTTGCATCTCTTACCCAGCCCCACCCTGCCCATCACGTTTACCCAGCGGGAAGCAGCAGAGGGTCCCAATGGTGATCCCGAAGCCAACTCCACTGCCCTTGAAGTAGTCCCGCATGACGGGGGGAACACAGGCAGGCAGGCCCTCCGTGCTGAGTTGTCCTGGCTGAGGGCAGGGGTCTCCTGGGGAGGCAGAGAAAGCTAGAGTCCTGGGGGGCTGTTGGATCACAGGCTTAGGCACAGCACCACTGAGGACATTAGGGTGGCAGGAAGGGGGAATGGTGGTGGCTTTGGGTACCAGAGAGGAGGAAGCTGCTTATCCCTGTCATTGTTCATGCCATTGTACCAAGAATGTGGTGTTTTCCTACTTGGGTAACAAGTGGGGTCCAACATGAACTTCAACCTCTATCTTTCCCTCATATGCACGTGTATGTGTACACACACACACACACACACACACACACACACACCCCTTCCCTTGTCACTGCTGTGGGGTTGGGATATCCTCACTACACTTAGCCTTCCTAATGTTCCACCCACCCCCAACCCATCCCAGCTGAATGCATCTTCTCACAAGGACTCTCTGAGTCTCAGCCCTGCCCTCGCTCGGGCACCTGGAGTTGTGTTGGGGGAACCTGCGTAGCTGTAAGTGGCAGCCTTGGTGCCCAGATCCAAAGTTCCCAAGGGCACAACCATAGTTCACTCCTCCCTTGGAGTCTACTGTCCAGCCCCACTGACCCAAACCCATGGCTGAGGAGGAAAGAAACTCCAGACCCCAAACCCCTGCAAGCCCCCTGGGTCACTCACCCGCATGCCAGAAAAAGACATTGGGCTGCAGGGCACTGGGGTCCACGTTGGTGACAGCCACCAGCACATCCCTGAGGGATGTGTTTCTGATCTCTGCGATCTCGTCCTCAGAGAAGAGTCTGGGGTGAGAGGGGGGGTGTTCTCAGAGTGGGAGAGAGATGCAGGCCCCAGGCCCACGGATCCGGATGAGGAAAGAGCCCCAGAGGGACTGGGGATGGGCAGTGCCCGCTGGGAACCAAGGGCCCATGGGCGCTGCTTATAGCTTATAGGCAGAGGTCTGGAGTCTGAGGTGGGAGCCAGGCAGGCCTTACCCATTCCTGGTGTTCTCAAACCAGTAACGGTCACCATCCCGCAGACGCACAAACTGGTCGAGGACTATGGCGCTGAAGAGGGGCCCGGGGTTCCCGAGGCTCTCCAGGAGCCCTCCGGGGAGCAGCTCCAGCAGGGACAGGTCCTGGTTGTACAGGGCAGCGGTGGCTTCCAGCACCTGGGGCCGAGAAGGGACAGGAGTGAGTGTAAGGACCTGGCATCACCCTCAGGCAAAGAGATGGTTCCCAGGGATCAGCCTGAGGGATAATAATAAATGACAGGAACACTAACTCAGTTAGTATGCCCCGGGCACTGCTCTGAGTGCTTTACATAAGTTCACTCATTATGGGAATTCTCTCACAGATTCAGCTGCCTGTTGTTAGAATAAATTAGGCAGCCAATCCCCTACGTAACTTATTCTTAGAGAGGTATACAAGTTCAAGAATCAAATCAATGCAAAATGTTAAATGGTAGAATGATGTGGTAGGAAAGGTTTCCATTTTTTTTTTAGATCTAAAAAAGTGTTTAAAAAAATCAAATCCCTACATATACATTGTATTTTAAAGACAGTCTTCAACGATATGTGGGCAGCATAGTCTGCCTCACCTTTACTTTACTTCCTTTCTTCACAGTGTATAAGCCCTTGACCAGTCTAATCCCAATGAGGTGCAACTGAAGCTAAAGATAGCTTTATATTGATTTTATAAAGTTTACAAGCCCCACACACATGCCACGTCTTTGTTGGTCTTTCAATTCTCTATTTTCCAGCAATTTTATAAAATAGTAAGGGCAAGGACATTGTCATCAATTACAGAAACCCTGCTGTACCAAGATGTTAAGGCAACTAAACGAGTCTGTTGGCGGGGTGATGGCATAGGGGTGAGAACTGACTCCCCTAAGGCAGCTTAAATATGAGTGTGTAAAGGTACGGCTTGTTCCTGAGTCAAGGACCTTCTCTACCCACCCAGGGCATCTGGGAAGAGTAAATGAGGTAATGTCTACTAAGTGCTTGGCATGCGATAGATGCCCAACAAACATGTGCTGGATCCGCACAGTGGCCAACGCCTGCTGGGCTGGTAGCCTACAGCCCGGTGTGTGATGCTGGGAAAAGCAAGGTGGGGAGCCCTGCCCCTCTCAGCAGGTGCTTGTCTCTGGCGCCCGGGTCTCACTGCCCATCTTCTGCATCTCAGGCCAGTGTTCCCATGGGCCTCCCACCCCGCCCTCTGGGTCCCCACCACTCCTCACGGTGCCATGACTCAGGGAGAGTGCAGGGTTGATGTCCTGCCATCTGGTAATGGGAGGCAGGCCCAGTGCTTCCCTGGCCTTGGTGTAAGAGGGCAGGCCCAGGTCCCGGCCCCGCTGCAGGCTGCTGGCCAAGTAGTCTGTGCGGGAGTACTTCAGAGGCCCGGGCCAGAAATCTGTGAATTTGACAGCAGGGAGTCTCAGGGAGTTCAGCAACACCAAAGCTCCTCCAGCCCATGCCCCAGGCTCCTACCAGCCCCGTGGGGGATGTAAGCGTTGGGAGCTGTGGCCATCGGGTCAGAAGCTCTCTCAGCAGTGAGACAGTGCAGGTTCCCAGCCCTGGATACCCCGCCCTGTCTGGCTCTGGAGCTCCCGCTGAACCTCCTCCCAGGGGCCAGGGGTGCACAGCCTCCAGGCCAGTCCTGGCCTCACCTCGCACATCCTCCACCACCACATGGTCTTCTTGTTCGGCAATCTGGGAGGCCATGCCCAGCAGCAGCGCGTCTACATCTTCAGCTCGTTGTAGATTTGGGTCCTATGGGCGTGAGGAGAGGAGAAGAGTGTGGCTAATGGGGCCAGAATTTTGGCAGCCAGGCTGCCTCCGCCTATAAGTCTATGTTCTCTATTCAGTCCTGCTGTTCGCTCCCAAACTGGTGGGTCATTCCTCATCCAGAGCCCATGCTGCTGGGAGAAAGGTCTCCATGAGCACAAGGGACCAAAAACTTGACTTCTTCTATTTTTATTTATTTATTCATTATTTCTTCTATTTTAGAAACAGACTTGAGAGCATGGTTGACAAAGACACTAGAAGATATAGGTCTTGATTCTTATTCTGTTAAGTAACCAGCTGTGTGATGGTGGGCAAGTAACAGTATCTCTCTGAGTTCAGTGTCCTCCCCTTACCAGAAAGGGCACTAGAGATGAAAAAATAATGAAATAAAATTAATAAAGTCATAAAAAAGGATCAGGAGGACACTGAGGTCTCTTTAAATTCAGCTCCATGACTCTGACCCTATGCCTTCCTCTTCTCTCTTTTCCTCTCTCCTCCCTTCCCTCTTATTAACATTCTGAGTTTGCTTTAAATTAATGATGAATGCTGTTGACCCACACGGACCTGGTTTGGATGGACAGACTATCCCTGGTAATCTCTCAGAATCCCTCCCTTCTCCTTGCCTCCAACCCACAAAAACACAGTCATTTGCTGCCTTAGGGAAGTCTAATTAGCGAGTTTCTTTGGGGCTGGGTTGGCTGGGGTACTCCAAGGCTTACAGGGGACTCAGAGCTGTCAAGGGAGAAGAAAAACCTGGAGGAAGCAATAAATGTAGAGCCACACTTGCACAGTCCTGAAGTGAGAGTAGAGGGTTGACTTATGACCATGTACAGCTACCCGTCATCTCAGACACTGGGAGGAGAGATGGCTTTGGTTCCTGGGCTGCCTCCTCCACCCCAGCCCATCCCAGCTATTGGCTGTCTCAGCCCTACTGCCCACTTTCACCACATACCCTAACACCCGTATGTGTGTGTGCACACACAAACACACACAGTACACATGCCCACCCACGTATATGTCCCCAGCTCTGACCCCTCGGCTCCAATAGCTGTTGCAGACACGGAGAGCTCTGGAGGCACTGGAATTCCGATGGATGACCCTCTGGAAGTGGCAGCTGGCATTTCTGAAATGCAAGGAGCAGGGGGAGTGGTGACTGAGATGCTAGGGTCCTAATGTCAGGCATCTGCTCTGGTCTCCAAGGCTGTAACGAGGGGCCAGGCCATGGCTTCCCTGAGGTGGTATGTGTTCAATGTAGGACCCAAACAATCTGATTTTGGGGAGGTCCCTTTCCCACATCAGACCGAACATCTAAAAATGCACCCAGAGAGTTTGCTCATGCTCTCTTGTGCATTCTCTCTTTCCACATGTGCATATACATTTTGAAAGAATTTTTCATTGTTCTTTTGAAATTACTTGTCTATGAATAACTCAATTGCTATGATTTCTTGGCCAGCATCAGGCATATCCAGAAATGGTTCCAGCCCTGGCCCAGTAGCTGTGTTGGTTGGAGCATCATCCTGATATGCTGAGATTGTGAGCTCGATCCCTCGTCAGGGCACATACAAGGGACAATCAGCGAGTGCATAAATAAGTGGAACAACAGAAATTGTTCCAGAAAGAGAAGTTTTAAATTATAATACAATTGTAAAAATAAATAAATAAATAAATAAATAAACTGACATGCTTTGCTTTGTATACATTTAATTAATTAATTTTTTAGCTAAAATCCCCTTTTTGTTATTTTGGAGCCTATATTTTCTTCAGCTCTCACACATTTTAAAAACATATTTTTATTGATTTCAGGGAGGAAGGGAAAGAAATAGAAACATCAACAAGGAGAGAGAATCATTGATTGGCTGCCTTCTGCTCACCCCGCACTGGGGATTTAGCCCACAACCCAGGCATCGAACCGTGACCTCCTGGTTCATAGGTGAACGCTCAACCATGAGCCACACTGGTCAGGTTCACATTTTTATTATAATTTCTCCAAAAGATTTATAAGCTCCAAGTTCTGTATTTACAACTAAAAATGCCCCCAGGATACTGTCAAGTTCAGCACAACAGGCTTTCTGACTCAGCCGCTGAGCTCTATTAGCCAGTCTTAAACTGGAGGATGAATATCTTCACCAGCTGCAGGAATATGGACCTAAAGTGCTTAAAGAACCACAATAATGTATCGTTTTAAACAATTATTTTTATTCTTCCCCTTCTTTTTCCCTGTTCCCTGTTAATCCTGTCCTGAGGACTCAAGAGGACAATTTTCTCAATTAACAATCCCATCCCCAACCGCCCCCTCACCTCCCAACACACACCTGAGCCCTCCCTCACCTCATGTAGACGCCAGGGGGCACCATGGTGGAGAGGAACTGTTCAGAGGCCACCAGGAACTCTGGAGAGATGCTGGGGTCCAGGAAAGGGCGGTACCCTGCCCCACGGGAGGAAGAATGGGAGAAATAAACTCCTTAGCCCTCCATCCTCCCATATCAGGCATCCCCCTGTCTTCTTTACACCCTTGGATCCTAACCACAGCTTCCCCTCCACACAGGTGCCCCCATGCCCTCACCTGTGTATTCTGGGGGTGTTTTCTGCAGGAAGCTGGGCAGCCACTCATACAGAGCAATGTTCTGAGGGTCAGGAAAGAGGAAAGGTGGGGCGAAGGCTCCAGCTGCCAGGCCAGGAGGGGTCTGAGCCCAGGGAAGGCTTAAGTGGGAGAGGACGGCCAGGCAGGGGCAGTCATGGGAAAGGCAGCTCCAATGGGAGAGGAGCTGAGGCCACCCCACAGGGAATAAGGGATTTGGGGGTGAGAGAGGGGGGGACACAGCTACATCTCTTGTGTAAGTGGCACATTGCCTCTCTATCACTCCTTGACTTTAGCTCTCCACAATCACCAGCTGTCCCAGTAAAGGTGTTTCTGGGTGGCCGATGTCCAAGGATGGAGAGCTCTGAGGGGAGCAGAGTCTCCGTGGAGCAGGACAGGAGGGTGCGGGAGGGCCATGCACTGACCTGGAGGGTGGCGATGACCCTCTTGCGCGCGTGCTGGAACAGCTCCTCGTCGCCCCAACGCGGGTGGCGGCGGGCCAGCCTCTGGGCGCACAGGTTGTGGAAGCGGAACCAGAGAAGGCCCAGAGCCTGCAGGAAGGGCTCGCGGTTCCCTTGCTCTGCCCCGAAGGCTGCCTCCGCCGGGAACCAGGAGGGAGAGGGCGGCGGTGAGACCCAGGGGAGCGCCCCGCGCCCCCAGCCCGCCCCCCGCCCCCGGCGCCCCGCTCCTCACCGAGCAGCCCCCGCGGCCCGCGCTGGCCCGTGGCGGGGTCGGGCGCGCTCCACATGAGCAGCGGCTCCTGCGCGCCCCGCGGGAAGGCGGGGTCGGGCCCCGCCGCCAGCTGCCCCCCGGAGAAGCTGCGCAGCGCGTCGCTCCAGGAGTGCGAGGAGCCATAGATGGCGCTGCCGTCCAGCCAGCCCGTCACCTCGTTGGTCTGGCGGGTCAGCAAGGGGGCAGTTGAGGCGGGAAAGGGGGGTACGGGGTAGGGGCAGGGCCAGGGCCAGGCGGTGTCCGGGGGTGAGGGGAGCTCCCCCCACCTGCCTGGGGTGCAGCTCCCGCCCGCCCTCTGCCCGGCCTCACCAGGTCCCGGGGGTTGCTGGGGCTCTGTCCGGTCTTGGGGTCCCAGCGGCTCCTCTGGAAGGGCAGCACCACGTCCCCGCGCCGGTGGGGGTCGAACACGGGGTCTCCGGGTGGGACCCGGATGTTGAGGAACTCGGCGGGGCAGCCGGGCCGCTCTGTGCTCACCAGGTCCGAGAGCACGTGGTAGCCTGGCCACACGGGGGAGGGGCGCTGGGGCCGGAGAAGCCCACTCTCCTTCCTCCCCCAGGTAGCTGGTTCCCCCACCCCCAGCCCCAGGTTGCAAACGACTCCACAGCCATTATGGGCAAGGCCCAGCCTTGACCTCACCCATCCCTTCCCAATGCTGCCTTACACCCCAGTCCAAACTGTTTTCATTGGCAGTTTGGCCTTCTCCTTGGTAACTGGGAGGTGCCCAGTGAGTGTGCTGGGAGCAGCCTGCCCAGAGGGCCCGCCAGCCCCGGTGGCATGGTGGACACTGAGAAGCAGGTGTGGGCATTTTTAATAACCAGCAGGAGCCTGGCATTCCTGCCGCTAGCCAGCAAACAAACCGGTCACTAGGCCCTAGCAACCCCATTTCCACACCCGCCAGCCCTCCTGCCAGGCGAAGAACCCTGCCCTGAGCCTGTCTTAGGAGCCACAGAGGCAGAGAGTGAGAAGAGCATCCCTCCCGGGTCCCCACCGGATTATTTTCATGTTCCTGCTTCTACCCCATCAACAGCTCAACCTGGGGCACATGTATTCCTCTTGTAACCAGACTTCATCCCTCTGCTCCCATCCCTACCCCATCTCATTGCCTGCCCCTCCATCTCTCTCCCCTGGCTCTCTGGCCCTCCAACACTCCTCTCCCTCATTCTCTGAGCCCCCCCCCCCCCCCCCAGACATAGAGGTGTCTAGCTGACCCCCCGGCCTCTACGCCCTACGGGTCGGGGCCTTACCGAAGAAGACGCCCAGCACTGTGCGGTTCTGCAGGGAGGCCTGCCCGGCAGGGCCCCGCATGGCCGTGTTGCTGACGTCGCGGGGATTAGGCAGGTGGGGTTCTCCCAGGGGCTGGTACACGCCATCTGCATAGGTGGCCGGGACCAGGCGCCGCAGCCGAGAGCCTGGAATGGGGTGGGTAGGGACAAGGACCAACCCTCAGAGGGGTTCCCTGAGCTCCTCTCTCCCAGGCTTCCTCCACACCACAGACCTTAAAGCCTTGGGAATGGATAAGCCTTTGCTGGTGCCTGCCAGCCCTTGCCCCTAAGCGGTGGGCACCATCCTCACCCTGGGCTCTGTACCCGCGTGACTCTCACTTACCTTTGCTGCCCCATCTGTGCTCTTTGAGGTTGTTGTACCATCCATCAAATCGCTGCACCTCCCAGGAAATGGGGTTCTGAGCTCCTGTGTGAGGGTGGAGGGAAGGGGCAGCTGGGCAAGTCAGCACATGAGAGGATGGGCAGGCCTGCAGAATCTGCATCCTGTGAGCAGGGACTGATAGTCAAGTGGATAACCTTGCCCCCTTCTCTTTGGGGGTCAATATGTCCCCCATATAATTCCTTTTCTTGACCCTATTTGCTCCAAAATCTAGGGTTTGGGAGGGAGTACTCAGCTGCTGAGGGAAGAACTCAGGCAATGAGGGCAGAGGGAAGGATTGAAAATCAAAAATATAGCAGGGGTCCTTCTGGCCAGTAGATCAGATGACCAGCCAGATTGCTTTCCCCAAACTAGGAGGCCAAAGGGCTGAGTCTCCCCCTCTCCTCAACTTGGAGAGCAGAGCAAAGAAAGGGACTCTCATTAGCCAAAGGGAGACCTAGTCCTCAGATTGTCTCCCCACTCAGACCTAGGACAGGATCTCAGAGCTACTCTCCTGCCCTATAGTTGACACACACATGTACACCCAAAGTGGTCAGAGAGGAAAAATGACTCAGGCCCTGATATGTGAGCCAAGAACTGAGGAGGAGCATAATAAGTGATTCCAAAATTTGTCACTTTGGCATGTGGATTATTTTTAATTAAAGGCAATCAAGACATAGCAGACTCAAGAAAAAAAGCTACTTTTTTCTCAACCACCTAAAAAATATCAGGTAGAGGGCATGGCCCAGAAAGAGGGTTAATACCAGAGATTACTTTTGATCTGGATGGCAGGGAAAACATCTGCTCTTCCTATTGTCTTATGAATTTCCCTTCTCCCCATTGATGCCCCAGGCCCCTATCCCATTCCTCAGCATAGGATGGTAAAGAAGCCAAAGAATCAAGAAGGAATGAAGGGGAAATTTTTCCATCTCTGCAGAACCCAACTAAGGATCAGGACTTGGGGCAGAAATAGGGCAGCCACATACATTCTGTCTCTAAAATAAAATAAAATAAAATAAACTGTGGCTGTTGGGGGGGGGGGCAATGGGGGAGAATGCCTCTTGGGTATTAGAGGCAAGAGAAAAGGAAAATCTAAGGCCAAGGCATAAATAAGGCTGGAAGAAATGCAAATGTGAGCAGCTCTGGCAAGGGAGAAGCTGCAGGGGCTGGCTCACCACCCTATGCCACCAGCCAGGACAGATCATGTCACAGATTTTCTTTGCTCCCTGTTCTTGCATCCCACTCTTAATGACCAGAGACTTGCTCTTTTAGCCTAATTTGTGGCACCTTAAGCCTACTTCCCTCCTCAGAGACCCAGACTGTAGGAAATTGCCTCAGATTCTAGTAAGAGACTATCCAATGCCAAAGGTAACAAGATGAAACTCTTGTGGATTCCCCCCCCCCCCAATCATATTGTTTTAGAACACTGGTGACTTCCCTTTGAGGAAGTCAGCATTCAGTCCAATGTGACTCCAAGATCCTTTATTTTCTTCTGTGTCTAATCAATCTTTTTCTATTTGGGGTCAGGGGTGGAGGCCATAGGGCTGAGTCTCCCCCTCTCCTCAGCTCAGAGAACAGAGCAAAGAAAGGGACTCTCATTAGCCAAAGGACACCCACTCAGACTAAGGCAGGACCTCAGAGCTACTGTCCTGGTCCATACTTGCCATGAAAGTATGAAAGGCACAATCACCAAGCTGGAGATGAGCACTACAGGCCACTGTGTTAGGTATCGGGGAGTAGGGCTAGAAATGAATGTGATACAGCCTCTGTCCTTGGAGAAGCCCAGAAGATGCTGGGTTACTCTGCTCTTAGCCATGATTCTCCTCCAATCTGTACTCACCAGTGGGTATCCATGGCCCAACCAGGAGTGTCCATGCCAGAGCCAGGCAGAAGCCCATGATGAAAAATGGAGACCCTAGAAAAAGACAGAGTATAGAGAGAATGAACCCCAGCAATTAGGAAAGTTGGGCCAGGGCCTTGGCAGAGCATTGGCATGAATCCAGGCATGGGGCTGGGTCAAGGCCACAGTAAATAGCACAGAGCAGGAGACTCCCTCCTTCCCAAGAATCTTTCACTTATTCACGAATTACTTAATGAACACCCTGTGTGTGCTGGGAATGAGCCTAGGCCCTGGAAATTAAGTGATGAACAGAGCAAGCAGAAACCCTCACATTCTTGGACTTTGCTGCCCAAGAGTAAGTGGAAAGCCTTGTTTACTGAAGTGTGGTCCTGGGACAGAGCATGGTGCCACTGCCAGTCCACTGTGTGGGTCTTAGATCACTTATCTGATTTGGACCTTGGTTTTCTCTTCCAGTTATGGGAGTCAACATGTCTGAACTGTCTACCTCCTAGCATGGTTTTGGGACTCAAATGTGAGATTGAAAAGTGGCAGTGTTATGTAACTGTAATATATAAAGTGTGGGCTGGAGCTTGGCTCCTCTGAGTCAACTCAAAGGGGTTCCTGTGTGTAATGCCAACTTCCTGTTCACTCTCCCCAGGCCAATAAATCACGTAGGGACAGCAGGGAGCCAGAGGCATCAGGGGACTCAGGTTGGGACTTCTGAGTGGCACAGGGAGCGCCCAACGCCAGTGAAGACTTTCTAAAGGCAATATGGAGGTTGGGGTGGAGTGGGGCCAGGGAGCTATCTAGTGGAGGAAGGGGGGAGCTCATAAAAAGCCTCATCTGCAGCCAAACCCTCAGGGCTCTGGGATAGGTTGTCTAGTCACAGAGGAGGGAATCCAGAGGATGACCTCACCCCCACTGGCCATCTCTCATCAAAGAAATGAGCTCAGCATTGACCTATGAACCAGGAGGTCATGGTTCAATTCCTGGTAAGACATATACCTGAGTTGGGGGCTCGAACCCCAGTGTGGGGCATGCAGGAGACAGCCAACCAATCATTCTCTCTCATCATTGATTTTTCTAACTCTCTCTCTCTCTGAAATCAATAAAAATAAGAAAAAAGAAAGAAATGAAAACAATGTAGGCCCTGTTATAATTCAGAAGCTTAGTGTTCTATCCACTCCATCCCAGAGACCGTCTAGATACCAGCCTTAGGCAGTTTGTGAAGAACTCGAAGGGCTCTGGATGGCTGGAGCCATAAGGCTGGACATGCTGAAGTGCCCACAGTGTTTCTTCCCTGATCTAGAATGCCCTGCCTCTTCTCTCCTACCACTCTGACTTCTGGATCCTTGTTCCAACACCAATGGACCACTCAGTCCACAAAAGCATGCAGCGAACCTTCAGGCCACGCTGTGGGAACTACCTGAAGGAGAAGGTGGACAAGCAATAAGCACCCTCTGTGGGTGGGTAGCCACGGGGATTTCACACAGCACATTGGTTCCCTAACTTTTTACCAGCCTCGAAAGGAAGGCACAGCCTCAGGAAAGGGCCGAGAAGCCCCAGGCAGTGGCAGAGCCAGGAAGAGAATACAGGCCTGCCTCCTTCCTGACCCACATGGCAAGTTTTCCAGCCATGAAGTCCTATAGCGGCGACTCCGGGGTGGGGAAAGAGGCGCCAAGGTCCTAGGAAGGCCAGCTTGGTCCCAAGGGAGGACCGAAGAGGAAAGCCTGATCTCTAAAAGTCCCCAGTTCCCTCCCTGGCATGATGTGTTGCTGCCAGGAAGAGCTCGGAGAGATTCCCCGACGCCCAAGCAAACCAGGCCATCCAGCATTCCCAGACCGCAAGGCATCTAGTCTCCCCAAACCTTGAGGGGTGGAGGATAGGCCCTAACGGGACCCACTTGTAGCCTCAGGCTAAGAACGGAGGCGCCGCAGGAGGGTCAGGCTGAATTCCCCTTCCCACAAAAAAACGCGGCGGCGCTGGGGCACACTCTGCCGCTAGAACTCCCTCCGGCCCCCCCTTCCCCGTCCCCCTCCTCCCAGCGCCAGATCCGCAGGCCCCGGCAGCCCCTCCGGAATCTGACCTGCGGTTGCGGAGTCCCCCACCTCGGGGACTGCGGCTTGGCTCCCGCCTGGCTCCAAGTTGGGCCCGGAACGCCGTTCCCGTCCAGCTCCCTCTCTAGTTCTGCGCCAGGACGGGCTGGGGCGGGGCGGGGGTTGGGGGGGGGGGTGGAGAGAGGAGACGGCGGCGCACCCCAGATCCGCGGCAGGGCGGGGCGAAGTGGGGCGGGATAGAAACCCGCGCACCGGGGACCCGCGAGGTGCTCCGTGGAGACCTGGGCGCGCAAGGTGAGACGCCACGTGCTCGCAGGACCCAAGTGGAGGGAAAGCTCGCGTCCGTGGCTGGGGCTCAGCGAGCGTGGCCACGTGGAGAGCGAAAAGGGCAGGTCCGCTTCCATGGGTCAGCTGAGGGTGGGAGTGGGAGAGCAGAAAGGGTGCGGGGGGACGGACAGGCGCTCCCTACATCCTCTCCGCGCCGTTGGTTCTGGGCGCTAAGATCTGGCCAGGCGTCCCAGCAAGGCGCCCATCCTCAGACCCTGTTGGAAACGGTGCTAACCACCCTGCCAGCCCCGAGGAGTTCCCGTGAGCTCTCGAAGGTCTCCGGCGCCCGCCCCCGGACTGCACCGCTCGGTTAGTGCTGGAGCTGCCGGGTGCCGAGGAGACAGAGGAGTCTGACGGGTGGCTGCGGAGGGGCACTGCCCCTTCTCTGTGCCAGGCTGGTGTGGGGCAGCGCCGCGGAGCCTGAGCTGCAGTCTGAGAAGGTCGAGGGTGACTTCAAATAAGAGATGGAGAAGCCTCGGGGGACCCGGTTTGTCCGGTCAGAGCCTGGTCCTTAAGAGAGGAGAAAAGCGGGGGATGGAAGGGAGCCCCGCAGAGAGAAAGGGCGCGCGCTTTCTTGACAGAACGTCCGGACCAGGTCCCCTGATTCCACCCCGGAGAGCGGAGAGCGTCGCGTGTGGGGTTCCGTAGGAGGAGGCCAGCGGCGCGAGCTGCCACGCACGCATTGTCTGGAAGAGGCGAAGGTGGGGAACCCCGGTACGGTGTGAGTGGCGGGGATGTGGCTGCTGGAGTTGGTGCAGTCCCCGTGCATCTTGGAGGGTGGCTTGAATGAAGTGCCGCCCTCGCCCGGGCCCCTAGGGGCGCACTTCTGGCGCCCAACCGGATCAAAACCAGATTTTCAAAGAAAAAGTTTGGTTAAGAAACTAAAAGGAAGCAAGAAAAATCTTGTAAGGCCATATATGTCACAAGACTTACAGACATCCAGTCCTTATCCTGGCTTAGCTAAAGTCTGGATAGTTTGGTTTGTATGATTCAGTTCCCCTGGACCCTTACTACCTCAGTCCTTACTGGAAATCCTTTTCTCAACCTACTTTTCAGATCTTGTTCTGATTCTCCATTTAATCTTTCCTTTAGTGCAACAACGCACGTACACATGCCCACACACGTTCTTGAAGAAGAGAGGCGGGGACAGGAGTTTCTGACAGGGTCTCCTTAGCCAGGACTGTAAACTTTTAAAAAATATATTTTATTGATTTCTTACAGAGAGGAAGGGAGGGAGATAGAGGGCTAGAAACATTGATGAGAGGGAATCATCAACCAGCTTCCTCTTGCACACCCCCTACTGGGGATGTGATGAGAGGGAATCATCAACCAGCTTCCTCTTGCACACCCCCTACTGGGGATGTGCCTGCAACCAAGGTACATGCCCTTGACCGGAATTGAACCTGGGACCTTTCAGTCTGCAGGCCAACGCTCTATCCACCGAGCCAAACCGGTTTTGGCAGGGCTGTAAACTTTTAATGGGGTCAACCCCAACCAGAGAAATAAGCCATCAATCACATTATAGTAGCTGTGTATCACCAATGAGAACTTTTGGCAACTCCAGATATGTGACCAATTCTTTATTTGTAGAGAGAATTAATAGTCCTTACTCTATGAGTTCCAGAGATGGGGGAGGTGGCAGGAGACTCAGGAAGAAATTCCTGTCAAGCTATAAGACAGGCTACAGAGCAGTAAGAAAGCATCTAAGAACTTTGAATGCTGGGGACTATAGCTTGTAGTAGGATAAGTTTTCCTAAAGATTGAAGCTATTTTGAAACTATTTCTTGCTGGCCCCTCATACATACATGGGAGTCTCTTTTCATCCTATGGTAGGTAGGATGTGTCTGGAATACAACTTAGTATGAGAAATGCTTCAGTATTTTAAGGAACCTCAGAAAGGGAAAAGGTGTTACTCATCTTTCCAGGTCAAGTAATAAAGGAGGACCCCAAAGTGTGAGGATTGGTCTGCCCCAGTGAAAAAATACCCCAGTTTTGTTACAGGGGCATCTGGTGCAGGGGTTTGGTGTCTAGATGTCTGTTACTGAGAACTTCTTCCTTGTTGTGCCTGTATACCTGTTTATATAGCTGTATATCTGATTGTTCCTAGTATTTATTAATAACAATATACACTGAATGACCAGATTATTATGTTCTCTGAATCCATAATAATCTGACCACTCAATATATGTGTGTGTATACATGTCTGGTACATGAATTCGTATGCATGGGAGGGGTCTGGCCAGCCTGGCCAGGGGGAAGGAACATGAGTGGTTGGTTGGCCTGCCTCCTGGTTGAACTTCTGGTCAAGGGGACAATTTACGTATTATCCTTTTATTAGATAGGATATACACTGAGTGGCCAGATTATTATGCATTCAGAGATCATAATAATCTGGCCACTTAGTGTACATTATGTTTATATACCAATCATGGTGGTGAGCTCAGGGAGAAGTGGGTCAAGTGAAGTCTGAAATGAGATTTTTATCAAATTAGAAGAAATTCTACTGTCAGATCCTTCTTGGCAAATCTGGGAGGAAAGGTGTTCCAAGGGAAATTATAAGCTTCATAGGAAAAGCAGGATTGCTGGATGTGGGGACTTTTCATTTTAGTCCCACCTTTTCATGCAGGAGAGGCCTGCTAGCTAAATAATGAAAATCAAATAAAGATCAGGATCATGAAAAATTAGCTTTAAAAACTAGGCAATGTTACCTGGCCAGCATGGCTCAGTGGTTGAATGTTGACCTATGAACCAGAAAGTCATGGTTCAGTTTTCTGTCAGGGCACATAACTGGGTTGTGGGCTTGATCCCCAGTGTGGGGCATATAGGAGGCAGCTGATCAATGATTCACTCTCATCTTTGATATTTTTATCTCTCTCCCTCTCCCTCTTCCTTCCTCTCTGAAATAAATTGAAATATTTTTTTAAAATAAAATAAATATCCCTATAACATATTTTACAAAATAATTTAATCCACAAATTCTGTTACTCATGTTCAGCTAGAGTTCAAATGTCTGTTTCAGATTCAATTAAAAATGAACATTCATGCTTTGGAGAATCCAACCACTGGGAGAGACTCTCTGAAAATTTTGTGAAAGCATTAAAAATTGACATGGTTAGTCAAATCCCTTCCTGCCTAGTCCTTAGCCCTATATTGGTGAGAACTCAAATTAATGTTAATGACAATGAGGAAATATAGCGCCCTCTTGTGTTCCAACAAAAGATGCTGCCTGCACAGGGAGGAACCAGTTCATAATATTCATTCATTTGATCCACAGACTGATTAATACTAGTATATGCTATGTTCAGGAGTTGCAAAGATGGAATAAGGATATTCAAAGCTAAAAGCGAGGGATATGTTCAAACAGACTATATGTTGATTTTGGGATCATGGACAGAGGTGTGTTCAAAATGCAATCAGAACCTTAGAGGTAGGACCATCTACATACCGGTAGACTTGACAGCATCCTTCACAGAGGAGTTAACACAAGCTGAGACTTGAAAAGTGAAAAGGAGTTTGCCAAGAAGGCAAGAGCATTCCCAGCAGAGGAACTAGCACGTACAAGGCACGAAGGCTTGAAAGAGCATGTCAGATTCCGAGGAAGACCAATAGCTCAGTGTGGCTAGAGATTAGGCTGAATGAAAGATGGAGATGGAAGGGTAGGTGGGACCAGACTACAAAGGACTTTCTATGTGATAGTGAGTTTAGATTTTACCCAGAGCAAAAAATTGAAATAATTATATTTGCTTGTTAGAAATATTGTTCTGACACCAGGCAAGATAGGATGAGGCTGAATTAGGGCAAAGGCAGTGGGGAAGGAAATGCATGGATGGTTTCAATAAATATTTAAGAAGTAAGATATTCAAGGTCTCTCTTTTATTTAATCAATGGAGTAATGACCAAAAAGATTAAAAAAAAAAAAAAAAGCAAAATAGAGACAGTGAATTCAGTTTTTGGACCTGTTAAATTTGAGGCATCCATGGAATATCCAAGTGAAAAAGCCCATGGGGTAATTATCTCTGTTGTGTTTGGAGCCCAAATAAGGGGTCTACTTAGAAACATAGATTTGAGAAGCATAAGCTATGAAGAAGGTGGTGGTGAAGGCAGGGTGGGTTGGTGTCAGAGCCCAGAAGAAAAAGAGATACTTATTCCCCTGGGATGGGAGAGTTGACAAGAAAATATCCAGCCCAGAAGGAAAACAGAAGCCTGGGAGCTATAATGTTTTGTAGGAGAATCACAGTATTTAGAACGAGAAGATCATCATATCTAATCGTAGATAAAGAAACAAAGGACTGGGGAAGTTGTCGCTGGCCTTCCTAATGTTAAATTATTCATCAAAGAACTAGAACCAGACCCAGAACTGATTCCAACCCAGTTCTTTCCAAAAAGGATTGGAGATAAATGAAATGACAGAATGTCATCTCCTTCCCAAAATGGTAACTTCCATGTATTGATATTCTGTTCCAGGTACTATTCCTAGTACTTTACATACACAGTCTCATTTTATATCCATAATGACCCTATGACATAAACATTATTATCATCCCCAACCTATATAATAAAAAGCTAATATGCAAATTGTCCCCATGGGCGGGAGTTCTACCAACCAATTTGACTTGACTGGGAATTAGACATGTGTTGACCACCAGGGGATGGCATGGAACATGGTGGGCATCATTGATGCAGCACTGGCAGCAGTCAGCAGTGGAGGCACTGTCATCCCCGATGGGCACCAATGGGCCCTGATGAGATCAAGGCAGCGACCGATGGCGGGAGGGGGGAGAGGGCCTGGCGAGCTGTGAGGCAGGTCAAGGTGGGTGTGAGCAAGGTGGGGGGGGGGGGACCACCCTGCTGGTCACCCCACAGATCAGCCGTGATTGCCATCCAGGCCTAGGTACCCTACCTGTGCATGAATTTTGTACACTGGGTCTCTATATTTATATAAAAGCCTATGCCACCATTCCAGTTTGACTGGTAGCTACGATCAGCAGACACTCAATGAACAGCTTGGAAACATTGAGCAGACTGATGAATCTCAGAGGGAAGGGGGAGGTGAGAGGATGGGAAGAGATTAATCTAAGATTTTATATGCATACTAGAGTTCCAGAGCACAGATTTGTGCACTGGTGGGGTCCCTTGGCCTGGCCTGTGGGGATCAGGCCAAAACCAGCAGTCCAACAGTCCCCCATGGGTCCTGGATTGCGAGAGGGTACAGGCCAGGCCGAGGAACCCTTTGATGCACAAATCCATGCACAAGGCTTCTAGTAAATAAAACTCTCTGTAGAGGTCAAGTAACGTATAAGAGTCAGAGGTGGAAATCAAACATAGAGCTACTTAACCCCAAAGCTTGTTTTTTTCACTCTCATCCTTTATAATAAAGAGGTAATATGCAAATGGTTATCATGCACTCACACCATCACACTGGGGAGAAAGGAATGGGGACCAGCCAGGCACAAATGAGCTCACGAGAGAGGAATGGGGACCAGCCTGGCTGCAGCCTGGGACAGAGACAGCTGCCTGTCCTGCAGTCCCGGGTGCCTGCAGCTGCAGCCCGGGTGAAGCTGGCCTGGGTCCTGGGTGCCTGCAGCCAGCCAGAGGGAGGGAAACCTGGGTCCTGGTGTCTGCAATCACCTAGAGGAAGGAATCCTGAGTCCTAGATGGGGGACGAGGCAGAGGAGGTTAGGGGCAATCAGGCCAGCAGGAAAGCAGGATTGATCAGGCAGGCAGGCAGAGGTGGTTAGGGGTGATCAGGCAGGCAGGTAGGCAGGCGAGCAGTTAGAAGCCAGTGGTCCCAGATTGCAAGAGGCAGACATCCCCTGAGAGGTCCCGGATTGGAGAGGGTGCAGGCCAGGCTAAAGGATTCTCCCTCCCTCCATCCCATCCTCCCTCCCCATGCATGAATTTCATGCACCGGTCCTCTAGTCAAACTATAAAGCATGGAGCCTCCTGTGCAAACCAAGATCTCAGTATTGATCACACTCAGGGAAATGAGCAGAGCTGGAATCATTGGTTTTAAAATGTACTTTATTCTCACATTTTGACATCTCTGAAATTGAGGTGTATCTTACCAACAATGGCTGTCATGGTTTTATTTGTAGTTTCTTTCTTTTGCATAAAATAATGGTGTGTCTTGTAATCCATTCTGTCTGGATTTAATAAAACACACTATCTGTCTGAAAAGGGACAAATTAGAGTAAATCTAGCTCTGAGATCCGGGGACAGGCAGAGAAGAGCTGAGCCAGAGTTTGAGCTGAAACAAGGCCTGGAAATTTAAGTCAAGAAGGAAGGCTGCGGATGATGATGTGTTCAGTAAAAGGACATCTGGCCTCTGGCCCTGGCGCCATGCCTGTGGGTGGCAGGTATTTCTTCAGTGCTTATTGAGGTGAATTCAATTCAGCTCAATTGTCCTGGAGTAGTCAGAGCTGGAGCCAGACACTTGAGAAAGCTGACAGACTGGTGTGGGCAGTGCCAGGTCTGGAAATCAGCCCTCTGATAATATAGTTGGATCATATACTTAGCAGAGCTGTCTGACCTTTGTTCCTTTGGGGACTGAGGAGGAAAACCAAAATTTGTGTCATCTGTACTATCTTTCACCCTTATGCTTTCACTTGATAGTAAATATAGCTCTTTTTATGTTCTGTGGTATGTCTGGAGGCCTGAGGGAGATAACAGACAAACAAAGAAAAAGGACTGTGGCTCTTAAGACAGTGCCAAAGGAAGCAGAGAAGCCTCCAGGGGGTGGCAGCACAGATTTAGGGGCCTGGAGGTTAGGAAGGGAACATAGAACCACAGAGACTGATTGCCAAGACCCTCATCCTTTCACAGCCAGAACATGGGGGATGGGGGACTGAGGGGCAGTGGGATGGCAGTAACAGTGGAGCCTGGTGAGCTCCAGAGAAGAGGAGCCTGATCTGGTTTATTTTTGGCTGTATCTCCAGCACCAAGAACAGTGTCTGGCACACAGGGCACTCAGTAAACATCTATCCTTGTTGTACAGCATCTGCCTTCCCTGCACAACCCCACCAAAATGGCTGCTTTTGGACACACATTCCCCTTCTATCCTGGCCCCAAGCCAACCTTCCCAATGGACACCACCTTGGCCATCATCATCACCATCTTTCTTACTGCACTTGTCACTTTCATCATCATCCTGCCTGGCATTCGGGGCAAAATGGTAAGAAACAAACCCAGCCCTGGGCCCCAGCCCCAGAGAAACCTTGGCCTTGAGGTGAGGGGGCCATACTCTCTCACTATAACTAGACTCAGGAAACAGGCTTCAGTCCTGAGAAAGCAACACCCCCGTCCCAATGCCCCCTACACCCACCTCCACCCAGCAGAGAGCTCCCCCACTCACTGATTCAACAGATGATTATGTGCCTGCCACTCTGATCTCCATCCACCGAGTAATCCCAAGGCTGGAAAGAGGAAGGGTGGACTTGGGAGAGGGTACTCCTTCCTAAACCCACCCACCCTGTTATGGCTCAGAGGCTGTTCTGGCTGTTCCGGGTGGTGACCAGCTTGTTCATCGGGGCTGTGCTCCTGGGTGAGTGTGAAGCACAGCTGCCTCAGGCAGTGCCTCTGTCCCATCCGGTCTGGGGTCTCCGTGTTCCCTCAGGGCAGCCTCTGCCTCAGGGTGGTCTTCCACACCCTGCCCATATGCGTCCCTCACTGTGGCATGTCCCCTCACTTTTACCCCTGCTCAGAGGGGTGTGGGCCCTGGGAAACCATGCTGGACCCATCTCTCCAACCTTCATAACATTTTTATTCAGAGGAAAGCAGATCAAAATGAATGTCTGTGGGGAAAAGGCTTTTGGATACTGGAGGGAGGAAATGGAAGGGGAAGGACCGCTTGCTTTGCTTTGACAATTAAGCAAGTAGGAGAGATGAAGTCCCAAAGCTGAAGCTGTGTTTACCCGACATGGTTTATTACATCAATGTTTTCCTTCCTCAGCTGCTTGAGCTTCTCTCTCTAAACAGGAAGAGAAAGGGAAGGAGGGATAAGAGGAGCACTTCTCTCTCTAAACAGGAAGAGAAAGGGAAGGAGGGATAAGAGGAGTACCACCAAGGGAAATCTAGGATTTATCTCACACATTATGGGCAAACCAACCATGAGCCAGACCCTAGGCCAGTTAATGGATATACAATTATGAGCAAAACAGGCAAGGTCCCCTGGTGGTTCTCCCTCTCACTCTAACTCAGCAACGCCCAGAACTCCCTGAGTTCCCATATGTCCAATTCCCCAACCCCAGCTGTGAATTTCAGTTCTGAGTGGTCTGTGGGCCAGGTCAGCACCAACACATCCTACAAGGCCTTCAGTTCCCAGTGGATCAGCGCTGAGGTGGGGCTCCATGTTGGGCTGGGAGGCGTCAACATCACCCTCACAGGTGAGGAAGGGCTCGTGCCGGGGAGGGAGGGAAGGGAAAGCTCGGTGTCTTTGGGCTCTAGTTTGGTGTTGTCTAAAGAGCAAGATAGGGGGATGGTAGGAAGGGGAATTCCCCGGCCTTGGAAGCTGCCTTCTCTTCATTGAGACCAGCTCCTGTCCCTTTGCCCATTGTGGTGAGCCCCTTACCCCGGCAAATGCCCCACTCTGGCCCTTGGGTCCCTGCTGAGCACAGCTGCCCCATTTCCCAGGGACCCCAGTGCAGCAGCTGAATGAGACTATCAATTACAACGAGGAGTTCACCTGGCGCCTAGGGGCGAGCTATGCTGAGGAGTATGCAAGAGCGCTGGAGAAGGGACTGCCGGACCCTGTGCTCTACCTGGCTGAGAAGTTCACCCCGACCAGCCCATGTGGCCTGCATGGCCAGTACCGCCTGGCGGGACACTACACCTCGGCCATTCTGTGGTGAGGGTGGGATGGAGGCCCTATTGCTCTAGACCCAGGAACAGGGTTTCTAGCCATCTCCTCTCCGCGCCCCCCCCCCCCAACCCCTTTCCCCCACCTTATATTGCAATTCCTATGAGGAAGGTGATGCTAGTCACCACGGTACTCAGTTGGGAATCCCAAAGCAGAAATCCCTACCTCACATCTTTGGGGCATCCTTGGGTCCCTGAGCCTCCATCTGGAGCCCTCCAGGTAGAGGTGCCCGGGCCAGCCTTCACGGGGGTCCTGGTTCCACAGGGTAGCATTCCTCTGCTGGCTGCTGGCCAACGTGATGCTGTCCATACCTGTGCTGGTCTATGGTTGCCACATGCTGCTTGCCACGGGCATCTTCCAGCTGTTGGGACTGATCTTCTTCTCCATGGCCACGCCGCTCATCCCACCCTGTCCTCTGCGCATGGGTACTGCTGTGCTGCACTTCCACCGTGGACCTGCCTTCTGGATCACGCTGGCCACAGGTGAGGCTCAGCCTTGAAGACAGGCGCTGGGGAGCTCAGGGCCAAGGGGGAGGATCAGGGACCAGCGAGTTGGGGAAGGGAGAGGTTGAAGGTCTGGGCACCAGGATGCCTTTCCCTTCTTGAAAGCCCCATTCCTCGTATATCCCTCATCTCTGGGTTTTCTCTCCCCAGTTTCATGTCCCCTCTCTTTGTATATGCCTACTTCCCCTCATCTCTCTTTCTCTGTCAAGTGCCTCATCCCCTATCTCTTTGTCCAACTCTTTCCCAAATATGTTAATCTCATGTCCCCTCCCACTTCCCCCAAGCATTTTTCTTTGTGTTCCCCCATTCCCAGAACCCTTCTCTGTCTCTGTTTCACATAACCTTCAAGTGCCCTGCAGTTTTATTGTCCTCTGCTGTCCCACCCACTCTGTGTGTCCCTCCTGCCTTTAGCCTCCTCCTCATGCCCTGCCCTTCCTCGGGGTTTTGTCTTTTCAGATCCATATTCTCTCTCTCCCTCCCCCTCCCCTCCCCCTCCCCCTCCCTCCTCCTCCCCTCCCCCTCCCTCCTCCTCCCCTCCCCCTCCCCCTCCCCCTCCTCCTCCCCCTCCCCCTCCCCCTCCCCCTCCTCCTCTCCTCTCCTCTCCTCTCCTCTCCTCTCCTCTCCTCTCCTCTCCTCTCCTCTCCTCTCCTCTCCTCTCCTCTCCTCTCCTCTCCTCTCCTCTCCTCTCCTCTCCTCTCCTCTCCTGGGATGTAATTGAAAGCATATGGCTTACAGTCCAAAACTCACAACCGCCTCTCTGAGCTCACATTGCCTTGAAGCCAGGAGGCCAGGCCTCCATTAGAGTCGTTCTGATGCTCTTAGGAGAACACGTCCTTGGGAGGGTGCTGTCCTCCCTAAACAAGACACCTATTGCCTCCTTCCCAGGATTGCTTTGTGTGCTGCTGGGCCTGGCCATGGTGGTAGCCCACAGGATGAAGCCCCACAGACTGAAGGCTTTCTTCAATCAGAGTGCAGGGGAGAACCCTGGCCTGGAGTGGAGTCCTGAAGAAGGGGGACTCCTGAGCCACCGCTATCGGTCCACCGCTGAGAGTCCTGAGCCCCAGGACATTCCTCTGTCAGAGGCTTCCCCCCAGGCATGCTATATGGAGGAGCCACCCAGAATGCCCGACCCTGCCCTATGAGGTTCCTCTCCCTGGTGGCCACCCAGACTTCCCACGTGATTCCAGACCTCCTGTGAGTCCCCCTAACCTCCCTCCAGAAGAGCCCATAGAATGGGTTGTATCAGCCCTCCAGCTCCAGTCTGTAGGTGGAGTAGGAAAAAGGAGATTCTATCAATGTTGACAAAAGAATAGAAAGGACCTAAGGTGCTGAACAGATATTGGAACTGCCCATAAACCTTGTCACCTGGTAAGACCAAATGTTTCCACACAGCAACCCTGCCTTTTTTTTTATTTTTATGCTTTGCCTGTTCCAGATTCCATTTATTGAAATCTAGCGTCACCCCATAGTGATATGGTGCAGGGCGCAGTTACGGTGTGATTCTGTGGTTCCTCTCATCCCTCTGCACCTGCACCTCTTGTTTTTTTTGTTTTGTTTTGTTTTTCTTCCTGGGTCCTCTTTGTTCTTCCTTTACTTCCCCAGCTTGTGTGACCTCTTGGTACAATGAAAGAGACTTGGAGAGAGAGGAAACCAAACTTCGTACCCTAGGCCTAATATTAACCAACTGTACCACATTCTCTTTGCGTTTCAGTTCTCAATTTTGCTAAATAAAATTGTAAGACTTGCCAAGGACCTTTATAAAAATCCCAGGATTTACATTTTTATGCCTTGCTGACATCTACCTTGGACCTCAACACCATTCCATAATGCAGTGTTTCCCAAACTTTTGACATATGTGAACCCCTTCTATAATTATCATAATACTGAGTACCCCTCACACTCATGAGAATGTAGAATTAGGCGCAGCTAAGCACGGTGCAGTGCATATCCCCACCAAACTCTTCCCGTACCCCTGGGGACACGCGTACCACACTTTGGGAAACACTGCCATAGTGAATAAACTGGAATTAGTGAATAAAGTCCAAAACGCCATTCCCTCTTAGCTCACTTAGCTGGGCCAGCGGAGGGGGATCCCACTGGGTGTGTCAGTGGGAGGGTGAGCTGTCTGGTCACCGTGCCCTTACCATCCCCTGGGGGTGGCTCAGGAACATGCTAGCTCTGGTTGGATCTCCTCTGAGCTCACTAGAGGGCGCCCTTCTCCCAGATCTTTTCCTGGGTTACTCTGGATTCTCCAGCTGGAGAGAATCCAGGTGGGCAAGGCAAAGAAAATGTTCAATGGCTGCCTGCAGCCTAGCGAAGTCTCCCGATGGTGCGTGTCCCACAAGAATCTGGAGGAGCCGTGGAAATGAACGGAGAAACGTTTAAAAAAAAAGGGGGGGGACATTTATTTGCAGCTCATCTTGGGAAGCTTGGTGCATGCCTGAGGCCACCCACTGCAGAAAGGAGGAGCACCCCAGGGTAGTGTCCCGCCAGGCGGTAGAGCCCGCAAGGGCTGCTGGGGTGAAGTTCTGCGCCCGGGGACCGAGGCGGAGTAGGTGTCCAAGGCTGGAGTCCCCTTCACAGGTTAGTACTGATCGTTGCACCCGAGGCCTCGGACTGCTTGTAGAATGGGTTGTTGAGACTGAGAGCCGAGCCCTCTCTCGCCTGGTTACCGCCGTTCTTGACGCTTTGGTCCAAGAAGGTGCGAAGCGCGCTGGGCTTGGTGCAGTGGAGGCCCACCACCGCCCCTCCTAGGAGGAGGCACAGGACGCCTGCGGCGGCGCCCGCATAAGGAAAGGAGCCCTCAGGCTCCAGGACAGAACCCGCCTGCCCCCTTCCTCTACGGAGCCACCCCTTCCATTTCTACACACACACACACACACACACACACACACACACACACACACAGAGGCCCTCTAATACTGATTGCATGACACAGGGCTAACGGCAATGCGCCACACCCTTCTGCAGGATGGGTATAACAGTGCCTGCCTCTTCGAACTATCTATCGAGAGGGGCAAAACAGCAATGCAGGCGAACTCGCTCTGCAAACTGGAAAGCGCGCAACCGGTATCAACCCCATCCCTCTCCCCCGCCGCCCGGGCCGCCGCTTGTCCTCACCGGTGGCCAGCGTCACCCAGAAGGCGGCGCCGTAGTGGCTGGCGATGGCGGAGGCGCCCAGGCGCAGCGGGCAGAGCGGTGCGCTGGCGATGGAGGCGAAGGCCAGGACGGCGAAGAGCGCGAAGGCGCCGGTGGCCAGCAGCGCCAGGCCCCCGTACAGCGGCGCGGGCATGGACAGCAGCGCGTTGGAGAGCAGCCAGAGGCAGAACGCCACCCTGCGGGGACACCGCGTGCTGCGAGCCGCTCCTCCCGGCCCGCGGATCTGCAGCCTCCGGGTCCCTACCTCAGCCCGAAACCCCGGGTGGCGTGGCGGAGTGCAGGGGGAACCCCCAAGGGTGTAGCTGGATCCCAGCCTTTGAGGAGGCTCTGTGCGGTCCTGACCTTCTGACCCGAAGGGGCGATCATACTCATCTGAGCGCATTGGACACACACACACACACACACACACGCACGCGTGCACACATGCACACGCGCGCACACTCACACTCGCACACACACATGCACATACGCACGTGTGCGCACTCATACACTCACACACACGCGCGCGCGCACACACGCGAGCGCGCACACACACACACTCACGCGCGCACACGCGCGCACACACACACACACACTCGTGCGTGCACTCACCACAGCGTGGCGGAGGCGTAGTGGCCCGCCAGGCGGTACTGGCGGTAGAGGCCGCAGGGACTGCTAGGGGTGAACTTCTCCGCCAAGTAAAGGACCGGGTCGGGCAGTCCCCTCTCCAGCGCCTCCTCATACTCCTCCGCGTAGTCTTCGCCCAGGCGCCAGCTGAACTGCTCGTTGTAGTCGATAGTCTCGTTCAGCTGCTGCACTGGGGTCCCTGCGGAGGGCGGCGGGGTCATGGGGACCCGAAAACTAAGTGGATTCGGATAGTAAAGCGGGGGCACGAGAGAAACGGGTTTGGCCGTGGTTGGGGAACACGCAAATGACCCTGTGAGACCTGAGAGATTCTGCAGATGCTCCCCTTTCTCCCCCACACACTCCCGCCACCCCCAACCCCTCCATGGGGTTCGTTCATCCCGAAAGTTCTCGTGGCCAGCCCTCTCACCTGTGAGTGTGATATTGATCCCCTCCAGGCCCACGTGCAGGCCCACAAGGGCTCGGACGCGGGCTGCGCTGAAGGCCTTGTAGGATGTGTTGGCGTTCGCTCTGCCCACTGCCCACTCTGCACTGAAGTGCACCGCTGTGAGGAGGTGGGGGGGGGGGCGGTTAGGGGGAGGATTGGGGAGACGGAACTGGGAGAGTGGTGATGGAAGGAGGGATACTATGAAGACAGATGGGGGTGGAGGTCCAATATGGTTTACATGGTGATTACCGGAGAGTGGGCACTACAAAGAGCTGGAGAATGGACAGAGGAGGGAAGCCCGGTTCTCCCTTTTCCCAGGTGCTCTCTGCCGGCCTTCTTCCCCGCCCCAGGTCCTCTCCTCATGGGTCGCATCATGCACTCACCCACGATTTCTGCGCCGATGAACAGACTGAGGAGAACTCTCACCAGCCAGAACCAGCGCTGCAGGAACAGGCACGGGTCAGGCCTGGGTACTGTTCAACCAGAGTCCCCACGCCACCTGGGTGTTTAGTGCTCCTGCAACTGCCCCCTCTTGCCGCAAGTCCTTTCCCAGTCACATTCCTGGTGTTTTGAGGCTGAAGTTAGGCTTGCTTTTCTTTCAAGTCCCTCTGAGCCACTGGCATTTCTGATGTTTTTTGACCTTGCGCTTCCATCTCCCCAACCCCATTTTCCAGTCCACCTTGCAATCTGCTCTCTCTCCCTGCCTGGTGTTCTCAGGCAACCTATATCCCCGCTTCCCACCCCCAGCTACTTGGCTCCTGGGCCTGGTTCCACCTCCTGCTCAGGTCACTGCCCTGGAAAGGCTCAGTGAGTCCAGAAGTGCTAAGCAGGGAGGGGTCACCTCCCCCAAGAGAAGGAGGCCCTGGGCTTGTTGGCCAAGGTGAAGAGGTATGAACACAACCTCTCAGGTATTCCTTGGTTTCCTAGGAAACCAGTGCAGGACAAGACCCAGGGAGGCTAGGTCCTCTGAGACTTGAAAAACAAATTGGGTTCTTGGAGGGAGATGAGAGCCTGTGTGGAAGTGTCCGAATCCTTAGGATAAGGGCATCCATATACCCAGCACACAAGGAAACACAGCAGTCTGAGCTGCTCGTTTCTGTCCTTCTGGTGGAGAGGTGAATGGGAGAGGGAGGAATGGAGCTGCAGTAGGGGGAGAGGCAAGGAGGTTAGAAAGCACATAAACGGAAAGGGCCCCTGGTGGGTACCTTCTCTCTCTCTCTCTCTCTCTCTCTCTCTCTCTCTCTCATTTATTTTTTTTACAGAGAGGAAGGGGGAAGGATAAAGAATTAGAAACATTGATCTGCTGCCTCCTGCACACTCCCTACCAGGTATGTGCCCACAACCAAAGTACATGCCCTTGACCAGAATCGAACCTGGGACCCTTGAGTCCGCAGACCGAAGCTCTATCCACTGAGCCAAACCGGTTAGGGTGGGTATCTACTCTTTACAGCAGCCTCCTGAATGACCCACAGGGCCAGTCTCTAGGATGTCTAGAATGGGACCTCTCCCCATCCTTGGAAACGGGTGCTTGCTGCACTAGACTTCTGGGTCTGCCCCATCTATGCTTGTCTGATATTCCATGGAGGTCCTTGCTGCAGTCTTCATCTGTCCTGGGTCCTCCAGAAACAAGCTGTCCATGATGTCCCCAGACCCCAGCTTTTAGCACCCCCTTACCGAATGGCCACGAATCCCGGGCAAGATGAGCAAGAAGCTGGCAGCCAAGGTCAAGAACACCAGAATGACGATGAGCAGCGGGACGCTGTAGCCAGCAGCACGCCGGGACTGGGGGTAGAAAGGCAGCTCGCCATCCCAGAGGGTCATGTTGTAACAAGGACCAGCGGCGGCGGCGCTGTTGTCAGGCGGGCAAGCAGGGAGCAGAGCCTGCTTGAGCTGTGGCGTCGGAGCCTGAGTTCCACTTCTCTGTACCCCGCCCCTCGCGTGCTAAAGCAAGACCCAAAGAGTTGGTCGAGTCCGCGCCCCTGGGCTGGGAAGCCCTGCCCTCAATGCTCCTCGGGGTTGACCCGGGAAGAATCGGGTAGGCGGGGAAAACGGAATTGTTTCTCACAGCCACCTTCGCGGCTCTGCGGGTTTGCTCTGCGTTTGGAAGTCGCTCGGACCCTGACTCCTTTTATAGCTGCTTGTGGGCCACGTACCAAGCAGCGTTGGGGCTAGGAAGTGGGATCTGTCCAGGAAAAGATCATGCAAATGAGGGGAGGCGATCGCTATGCAAATGAGAGACCTGCCCCCTCAGCCGGGGGTGAGCCCAGAGTCTAGATGGTCACACCTGTAACCGGTCTAGCCAGAGTGGACACCCGCGCGACGTGCCTCGGAGGACCCAGAGCGCTGGGTGAGAGCGCGGCGGGAGGCTGAGCTGGTGAGTGGGTGTGGGCATGGGGTGGTGGAGGCAGGATGCTGAGCAAAAAACACACACAGAGTCCAAGAGGAGGAAAACCTTCTGATCCCCACAGGGGCTCTCAAACAGAGGTTGGACCGGGACTTGGGGCTAGATCTTCCCATCCCTCCAGTCCATGCACAGACATTCATTTCGGAGTCTGAGGTGCTGCATGTCCTGGCCTCCAGCTGACTAGCCCCTTTCCCTTCCCTGCTTGCCTGCTTTCTAGGAGAAGCAGTACCCCAGCGGGGGAGGTGAGGCTGCCACGTCCGTCGCTGTCCACCCAAAAGAGCAGCGTGTCTACACAGGTTTTGGTAATGCTTCTAAAAGCTTCGCTCCACAAGTGCAAACAGCCGGTGCCCCCTCCTTCTGTGCCTGCTGTAGGCTGTGGGGACGCCCGCTTTCTGTCCCTCACATACCACCTCCCATTCCCCAGGCTGCAGGCTCAGCATGCTCCACGCAGGACCAGAGACACTGATGCTCCTGGGAGCCCTGCTGACTGGATCCCTGGATCCGGCGGGTAAGCATCAGGTGCCCTCCTCCTGAGATGTCACTTGGTACGCCTGGGGTTGAGGGAAGGGAGAAATGAAGTCAAGCGGTTCCCTGAGGCTGGAAGATCGTGCTCAGCAGGCTGGGAAGCTTCCCAGCACAGCCTCCACGCTGCGCAGGCGCAGGCACAGCCACTTGGGTTGGCTTGGGGACGCTGGGTGAGCCGGGCTGAGGTCGTCGGGTACCCGGGTACGGGGCATCGCAGGGAGGCTGGCACCGAGGGGACCCCTCTCTGACCCACAGGCGGCCAGGACGCGCTCTCACTGCCCTGGGAAGTGCAGCGCTATGACGGCTGGTTCAACAACCTGAGGCACCACCGTCGGGGCGCGGCAGGTGCGTCCGGGCGCGGAGAGCGAGAGAACCCGCACCCCCCGCCTCCGGGCTGCCCGCGCGGGGGACTCCTGTGCATCCCCCGGGGCTGGGAGACTAGGGAGGGGGGTCTTGTCACCGGCGAGGGGAAAGGAGGACAAACGTTCGGGGCTGGTTGGGGGACTGAGTGCTCAGACACAGCCTGTTTCCTGCAGGCGGCCCGTTGCGACGCCTCGTACCAGCCAACTACGCCGATGGCGTGTACCAGGCCCGGGGGGAGCCGCAGCTGCCCAACCCGCGCCGACTCAGCGCCGCTGTCGCGCGGGGCACAGCCGGGCTGGCGTCCCGCCGCAACCGCACCGTGCTGGGGGTCTTCTTCGGTGAGGGCAGCGTGGGAAAACATGAGGGCTGATCCACGGAAGCCCCTCTGCAAGCCCACAGCCACCCACCCCGACCCCCACTAGGCGGCGCGAAACTTCTTTCATCTCAGAGGGATCTGGGCTTTCCATCCAGGGATCTTTGCTCCCATAAATTTTCTTTTTTTTATTTTATTAAATTATCTGTGTACATATCTTACCATTGCCCCCCTCCCATAAATGCCTTCCCTTCCAGAGATTTGTGTCCATTGATTGTACTTATATGCACGTATACAAGTCCTTCGGTTGATCTCTTATCTCCCCGTAAATTTTCTTTTACCCCTTAACTCCAAACCCAGGAGTGCCACCGGACCTCCGTTCTAGTTCTCAGGAGCGGAGTCCCCTGCCATGCTCTCCTCTCAATATGATCATGCTCTCCCTACCCCCATCACCTGCCCCCCTAACCCACCACGATGGAGGGGAGGGGGAAGGACCTATTAGATGTGGACTGGCTGGGGAGGGGGCTTATATTAATTATACTGATTATCACAACAACTTGGCAGATCAGAAAAAAAGCCACGGAGCTGCTGGTAGAGCTTGCACTAAACATCTGCCTTTTGGCTCTTGAGAAACTTGGCCTCAGGAAGTAGCGGTTCTCACCAGTTTGCACCCCTCGCACGCAGGCTACCACGTGCTCTCGGACCTGATGAGCACAGAGCAGCCCGGCTGCCCCGCCGAGTTCCTCAACATCCGGGTCCCACCCGGAGACCCCGTGTTCGACCCCCACCGGCGCGGGGACGTGGTGTTGCCCTTTCAGAGGAGCCGCTGGGACCCCAAGACCGGACAGAGCCCCAGCAACCCCCGGGACCTGGTGAGGCCGGGCAGAGGGCGGGCGGGAGCTACACCCCAGGCTGGTGAGGGAAGCCCCCCTCACCCCCAGACACCGCCTGGCCCTGGCCCTGCCCCCACCCCGTACCCCCCTTTCCCGCCTCAACTGCCCCCTTGCTGACCCGCCAGACCAACGAGGTGACGGGCTGGCTGGACGGCAGCGCCATCTATGGCTCCTCGCACTCCTGGAGCGACGCGCTGCGCAGCTTCTCCGGGGGGCAGCTGGCGGCGGGGCCCGACCCCGCCTTCCCGCGGGGCGCGCAGGAGCCGCTGCTCATGTGGAGCGCGCCCGACCCCGCCACAGGCCAGCGCGGGCCGCGGGGGCTGCTCGGTGAGGAGCGGGGCGCCCGGGGCGGGGGGCGGGCTGGGGGCGCGGGGCGCTCCCCTGGGTCTCACCGCCGCCCTCTCCCTCCTGGTTCCCGGCGGAGGCAGCCTTCGGGGCAGAGCAAGGGAACCGCGAGCCCTTTCTGCAGGCTCTTGGCCTGCTCTGGTTCCGCTTCCACAACCTGTGCGCCCAGAGGCTGGCCCGCCGCCACCCGCACTGGGGCGATGAGGAGCTGTTCCAGCACGCGCGCAAGAGGGTCATCGCCACCCTCCAGGTCAGTGCATGGCCCTCCCGCACCCTCCTGTCCTGCTCCACGGAGACTCTGCTCCCCTCAGAGCCCTCCATCCTTGGACATCGGCCACCCAGAAACACCTTTACTGGGACAGCTGGTGACTGTGGAGAGCTAAAGTCAAGGAGTGATAGAGAGGCAATGTGCCAGTTACACAAGAGATGTAGCTGTGTCCCCCCTCTCTCACCCCCAAATCCCTTATTCCCTGTGGGGTGGCCTCAGCTCCTCTCCCATTGGAGCTGCCTTTCCCATGACTGCCCCTGCCTGGCCGTCCTCTCCCACTTAAGCCTTCCCTGGGCTCAGACCCCTCCTGGCCTGGCAGCTGGAGCCTTCGCCCCACCTTTCCTCTTTCCTGACCCTCAGAACATTGCTCTGTATGAGTGGCTGCCCAGCTTCCTGCAGAAAACACCCCCAGAATACACAGGTGAGGCACCTGTGTGGAGGGGAAGCTGTGGTCTGGGTCCATGGGCGGAAAGAAGACAGGGGGATGCCTGATATGGGAGGATGGAGGGTTCAGGAGTTTATTTCTCCCATTCTTCCTCCCGTGGGGCAGGGTACCGCCCTTTCCTGGACCCCAGCATCTCTCCAGAGTTCCTGGTGGCCTCTGAACAGTTCCTCTCCACCATGGTGCCCCCTGGCGTCTACATGAGGTGAGGGAGAGGCTGGCGATGAGAAAGGAGGCACGGCTCAGGCAGAGGTGGTGAAGTAGAGGGCCTGGGATCTTGGAGCTCTTTATAAACCTCTACAATGACATGCAGGACACAGACATTAGGGTCCTACAACAGGACCCTGGGATAGGAGATTCAGCTGGGCGTCCACATTGGGTCCCAGCTCCCTGTAATGACTGAACTTCAGTTGCTGAGAGCAGGATTTGTCCATCAGCTGGATAATCCTTTTCCCTCTTTCCCTTCCCACCCTGTGTGGACAAAGATCAACCTTTATCTTCAAGCCACACACATAGCCAGAACTTCAAGGAAGTTCAGGGACCACCCCTCAGACATGGCCAACCTCCTCTGAAACCCTCACCTAACTCAACCCCATCTTAGCGTCTTCCCTGAATCCTCTTACCACATTCTTGATTCCCTATTTCAGAAACACCAGCTGTCATTTCCAGGAGATCACCAACAAGGGTTTTGGCGTCTCCCCAGCTCTCAGAGTCTGCAACAGCTACTGGAATCGGGAGGTCAGCCTGGGGTCAGGGTCAAGGGAAATTGGCTCAAGGCCAGCATCATTACATAGGCTGGGGAAAGCAACAATTCTCGAGTGTTGCTGCTCCAGGGTGGTGGGAGATGAAGGGTGGAGTGATCAGAACATTATCTGGGGACAACAGCTCAAGAGAGTCTGGGATTGGCCAAGGGACCTTTGTCCTGTGGCCCACGGTTAGAGGGACTGGGCTCTGGGAAGGGACCTGAAAGCCTACCTTGACTGAGAGTCTTGTTTATTTCCAGAACCCCAACCTGAACAGTGCCCAGGCAGTGAATCAACTGCTGCTGGGAATGGCCTCCCAGATTTCAGAGCTGGAGGACAGGATAGTGGTTGAAGATCTTAGGGGTGAGCTCTGGAACCGGAAGGGAAAGGGGCCCAGGGATTCTTTTTGAGTTAATCAACAGGTAGACCTATGGTACCTACAGTGCAGGGACAGAGATACACTGCAAACAGCCACTTACAGTTTAGTGTTGTTTTCATTCGAAATTGCCTATGTCTGAGTATGTG